GTGCCGGCCGGGCAAGCGGCTGGCGCCCTTGGCTCTCTCCCCGACGCCAGCCTGTCCCCTTAAGTCTTATGGGCTCTCAGTAGGGCTGGTGGGACAGGCGGCTGGCGCCCTGGGCTCTGTCCTCGACGCCAGCCTGTTCGGCAGCCGCTACGCTGCTCACTTGCGCTGTGTCGCTGTCGCCTTCTGGGGTGGAGAATGGAACGGCGGTCCGCGGTCTCCACCGGCACCCGCGTGGTCCGTAGTCTCCACTGGCACCCGCGCGGTCCGTGGTCTCCACCGGCACCCGCGTTGTCCACGGTCTCCACAGGCACCCGCGTGGTGCGCGGTCTCCACCGGTACCCGCGTGGTGCGCGGTCCCCACCGGTACCCGCGTGGTGCGCGGTCTCCACCGGCACCCGCGTGGTCCGCGGTCTCCACCGGCACCGTGTCCGACGCTCCGCTGCCCTCGTCCCCCTCCGTTTCGGACACGCCGCTGTCTTCGTCGCCTTCGACGCCCCTGGCAAGTGAGTGGACGAGCGGTAGAGACGGTGAAGCGGCACGAGGGGATGCCGAGCGGCGCGCTTGGCCGAGCTCGGGCGTGCTAAGGCGACAAAACGTCTGTCCGGCGCAAACAAAGAGCTCGTCCCTCAAAGATACACTCCAGCGCCCAGGAGGCCGATGGGGGCCCCGCTGGTCTCCATACGTCCGGTAGAGGCCCACCGATGGGCCCTTACCCTCCGCCGTCCGGGACCGGGTACGCTTACGTGAAGCGTGCCCCAGCCGGACCCCGTTTCCAGCTGACAGAGGGAGTCACAGGACTCGTCCCAGGGTGGGGCACGGTGCTATAGAGTTGGTCGTAGCTCTTGACCTGAGGCGTCTGGCCCTGCAACTGGCACAGCCCAATTCGTGTGACCCGTGTCTGGTTTTGTCTTGACATTCCTCACCGCCTTTTCATTGCACCCTTTTTCTGGCGTTTTTACATTGGAATTGTAGAGGAATGAAGGCGAATACCCTCGCTCTTCAGGCAGTCGTCAGCAAGCTCATTCCTGAAGCTGCAGCGCTGCAAAAGACGATGCTAGCGTCTGAAGATTGCTGCTCGTCGGAGGGGTTGATGATGTTCCGCAACGACGCGTTGACACAGAGCGCTTGTCACCGGCGTGCGCTTGCAGTTCACCACAGCGTGCCAGCCGGGTCAGACTTGCGCTTCACGCTTCGAGCTGCGGCCGCGCGACTTATCCTGATCACCGACACATCACTGTTTGTTCGGCGTACGTTCCACCAGGCATCGCCTTTCCATCGGCACACACGAGACGCTTGCCATCTGAGATCTCTATCCATTACCCCTGCATCCAGGCGGCTTTAATGCACATCACACGGCATTGTGGCGTGGCATTACGAATACTCGCGGGAGGACTGGTGAGAATTTTACCCATGGTGCTTCAATATGTATTTTAAACAGAGGAGCGTGTACACGTGCTATAGTATCATCCGGTCTGACGTGGGTGTTGTGCTACAGGCGTGAAATGTGAACTGTATAATTTTGAATTTAAAATAGATCAAATTAATTTGCTTATGATACCTTGTTCGTAATAGAGATGCGCGTCACGCTATTATCGATACGGATGACAAGCCGTGAGTGTTCACCAGAGCATTCTTTTGATATATGTGTTTTTGATACATGTCTCAGGTCGCTACCATCCGTTGTCGAATTTTTATGCTGTTTTTTTTGTATTAAGAAATGGCGCTGAAGGATTGTTCCTTGACAATGTGTCTGGCGTCGAACTTGGACATTGGACAACTTGGAACTTGCACTGAAACTGTTGAGGAAAGGGACCGGGGAGCGTCGCAAATTGCACATCTCGTGAAAGCTAAACAATTTCTTTCAGAACGAGACTGTCCCATTTTGGGGATGCTAGTATGCCTTAGGCTAGAACGCGACACGTTAACGCCTTGTTGTAAAGTGCATTTTATTGCTCTGTTTCAGTGGTCGGGGGCAGTTTCGCAAACTTAGTTTCCGGGGGTGACCACACGTTGCGGATAGGGCAGTGACAATTAGCTTCCTTTCTCGGACGCTTATTGAGCGCATGCGCCTCAAGCTGCATCACCGAACCCGCGTTACCAGTGCAATCATCTCGTAATTCCCATTAAGCATTCGCGATGTCAGACGACGTCCGGAGCCGGATCTTCCTTTCCGTCCTACGTTACCGGCCTCCGTCCGGCCTATCTCGTCTGAAGCCTGCTGGCAGCTCCAGCGTGCTGCTGAAAATCAGCCCGTGGCCGCCGGCCCGCCGGCATCCGTGGCATCCGTGGCCGTCGGAGATGCGTGCCGCCGGCGCGCTTGTGCGGTGCTCGCCGCTGCCGTCATCGGGTGCTGATCCAGCCTCCCGCCTCGGCCGGCTCAGGCGCCCCAGGCGCATTAGGCCTGCACGTCAACGTGCGTCAGAGACGGACATTCAAAGGAAGGGTCGCATTGTCCCTCAGGCCACCTGAATTGCTGTCGTCCGTACGCAATTTGCGTTTTCAGCGCACTTTAGACATATTTCTCCCACCCATGCTTGCCTCTGCGGACATTTAACCGGCGTTGCTGGACCCAAGCCTTCAGAGTCGCTTCACAAGCCCCGTCTCACGCTTGTGCTTGTGTTGATCTCCAGCGCGACCGCTCCCGGGCGCCAGGGTAATAAAACCGAGGACTTGCCGTGGGTAGTGGCTCCGGAAAGTGGACCTGACGACCTCCGTTGAACACTCGGCCTGAACTGTCGGATGGTTACCACGAGAGACTCGGCGCTAATCTCATGCAGGCCCAGGGCAGCGACGTCATGGGCGGTCTGGGTTCTCGTTCCCGCCTCGTGATATTTTTAGTGGCCCTGCGTGCAACCGGCAGTATTTTTTCTGGCGGCAGCTTCACCGGTGTGGCAACACTAATGATCATCACAGCCACGTGCGTCGATAAATAATCATACGATTATTATAGAAGTACTCGATTATCTCTGTCCACCCCTCTCTCCCTCCCCTCTCTCTCTCTCCCTCTCCCTGTCCCTCCCCTCTCTCCCCTTGTCTCCCTTCGTCCCGCTGGTCGCGCGGCTGACGCACGCTGGCACGGGCACCCGGGCTGATGCGCGTGTTGACGCGCTGGGCCCGGCGTGACACGGCACTGAGCCGCGCCCTGGGTCACTGAGCTGGGTCGCGCCCTGGTCACGGGGACTGGAGCGGGGACGGCCAGACGGCGGCCGGCTGCTGGGCTGGACCGCGTCCTGGTCACGGGGACTGGAGCGGGGACGGCCAGACGGCGGCCGGCTGCTGGGCTGGACCGCGTCCTGGTCACGGGGACTGGAGCGGGGACGGCCAGACGGCGGCCGGCTGCTGGGCTGGACCGCGTCCTGGTCACGGGGACTGGAGCGGGGACGGCCAGACGGCGGCCGGCTGCTGGGCTGGACCGCGTCCTGGTCACGGGGACTGGAGCGGGGACGGCCAGACGGCGGCCGGCTGCTGGGCTGGACCGCGTCCTGGTCACGGGGACTGGAGCGGGGACGGCCAGACGGCGGCCGGCTGCTGGGCTGGACCGCGTCCTGGTCACGGGGACGGAGCAGGGACGGCCAGACGGCGGCCGGCTGCTGGGCTGGACCGCGTCCTGGTCACGGGGACTGGAGCGGGGACGGTCAGACGGCGGCCGGCTGCTGGGCTGGACCGCTCCCTGTTCTCGGGGACTGGAGCGGGGACGGCCAGACGACGGCCGGCTGCTGGGCTGGACCGCGTCCTGGTCACGGGGACGGAGCAGGGACGGCCAGACGGCGGCCGGCTGCTGGGCTGGACCGCGTCCTGGTCACGGGGACGGAGCAGGGACGGCCAGACGGCGGCCGGCTGCTGGGCTGGACCGCTCCCTGTTCTCGGGGACTGGAGCGGGGACGGCCAGACGACGGCCGGCTGCTGGGCTGGACCGCGTCCTGGTCACGGGGACTGGAGCGGGGACGGTCAGACGACGGCCGGCTGCTGGGCTGGGCCGCGCCCTGTTCTCGGGGACTGGAGCGGAGACGGTCAGACGACGGCCGGCTGCCGGGCTGGACCGCGTCGTATCCACGCTCGGCCGCCCCTGCCAGGGCCAGTGTATCTGACACCATCTGGGTGAACTGTCTGGTAATGTGTCGTCGGGATGACTGGTGGGGTGATAACAAGTCGGCTCGCAGTTCAGGCCTTTACCAGATCTTCCGGGTGAGGCTCGGCGCGCGGGCCGTCTCTCATGTCCGGATGATGGATCGTGTGAGAGAACTTTGTCACGAGGGAGGCGAACACAGGCCGCGGGAATTAGGTCTGTCAGTCGTCTGGGGACGGCGCACTGCTCCCATGCAACAGACCTGCTCACGCCAGACCTCCCGCACAAACTGAAGTCCGGACACGGCCGCTGTCTCTTGGATGCGTCTGTCGGACATCAAAACGCGCTGCCACAGTGCCGGCTAATCGGGCCAGCGCGCTGACAACTCGTGACGGGGGCTGGGATATGGTCGCCGGCACGCGCACGTCCCACGCACTGCCCGGCTCGGCCGCGCCTGCCGCCGACTGCCGGTCAGTAGCGACCCTGCGTCGGGGCTTGGCGCATGCGAGGTCGAGTTGTGCTCCGGACAGGGCGGCGCCGGGCGGCCGACTGGCCCAGCCGTGGTGACTGACGCACGAACCCACAGGCCCAGCCGTGGTGACTGACGCACGCGCCCACCGGCCCAGCCGTAGTGACTGACGCACGCGCCCACCGGCCCAGCCGTGGTGACTGACGCACGCGCCCACCGGCCCAGCCGTAGTGACTGACGCACGCGCCCACCGGCCCAGCCGTGGTGACTGACGCACGTGCCCACCGGCCCAGCCGTAGTGACTGACGCACGCGCCCACCGGCCCAGCCGTGGTGACTGACGCACGCGCCCACCGGCCCAGCCGCAGTGACTGACGCACGCGCCCACCGGCCCAGCCGTGGTGACTGACGCACGCGCCCACCGGCCCAGCCGTGGTGACTGACGCAATCGCCGGATGTGTTTCAGCGCGAGCCGGTGCGGTTCGAAGTGGCCACGGAAGGCCTGGACGCTGCCGAGCTGCGCCTCGTCAAGCAGATCCAGCAGGTGAGTCCAGAGGGGGGAGGCGGCGAGAGCACTGGTCAGGGTCAGGGTCCGATCTCCAGCTGTGTCCAGCGGAGGAGGGCAGGGGGACCACCGGCCATGCTCAGGGTCTGCTCTCCAGCTGTGTCCAGCGGAAGAGGGCAGGGAGAGCACCAGCGGTGCTCAGGGTCTGCTCCCCAGCTGTGTCCAGCGGAGGGGGGCAGGGAGAGCACCAGCGATGCTCAGGGTCTGCTCTCCAGCTGTGTCCAGCGGAGGGGGGCAGGGAGAGCACCGGCCATGCTCAGGGTCTGCTCTCCAGCTGTGCCCAGCGGAGGGGGGCAGGGAGATCACCGGCCATGCTCAGGGTCTGCTCTCCAGCTGTGTCCAGCGGAAGAGGGCAGGGAGAGCGCCAGCGATGCTCAGGGTCTGCTCCCCAGCTGTGTCCAGCGGAAGAGGGCAGGGAGAGCACCAGCGATGCTCAGGGTCTACTCCCCAGCTGTGTCCAGCGGAGGAGGGCAGGGAGAGCACCAGCGATGCTCAGGGTCTGCTCCCCAGCTGTGTCCAGCGGAGGAGGGCAGGGAGAGCACCAGCGATGCTCAGGGTCTGCTCCCCAGCTGCGTCCAGCGGAGGAGGGCAGGGAGAGCACCAGCGATGCTCAGGGTCTGCTCCCCAGCTGTGTCCAGCGGAGGAGGGCAGGGAGAGCACTAGCGATGCTCAGGGTCTACTCCCCAGCTGTGTCCAGCGGAGGAGGGCAGGGAGAGCACCAGCGATGCTCAGGGTCTGCTCCCCAGCTGTGTCCAGCGGAGGAGGGCAGGGAGAGCACCAGCGATGCTCAGGGTCTGCTCCCCAGCTGCGTCCAGCGGAGGAGGGCAGGGAGAGCACCAGCGATGCTCAGGGTCTGCTCCCCAGCTGTGTCCAGCGGAGGAGGGCAGGGAGAGCACTAGCGATGCTCAGGGTCTGCTCCCGAGCCGTCAAACCGATGTAACGCTAGCACTGAATCTGGCCACTGTGTTTCACGGGAAGGGTCTGGGTTAGAATCGTTCCGTGCCCTGGAAAATGGGACTGTGCTGATGTGACAGCGTAAAAACTAATTCATGTCGTCAGACTGAGTCGCCGGGTTTGCCTGGAGTTGGACCATGCTGATTGTCTTCAGCCATACCCGGTCCGTGACAGCCCAGCGTCAGCTCGTCCTTCATACAATGGCCATCATCTATGTTGTGTATGAACATTGCTACAATGTAGTGTAAATGACAGCCTATACACATTTGTCGTGTAAATACCAACACCAGGTGAGGACGATTCTTTGGAGAGTTATCCTCTCTGATATGATATGACGTGATACTGAGGCCTGGTCTGAATCATTCACTGAGACAAAGTGAAATGTATATTGCTTAACCAGCCACCTACCACCTCAGTGGTAGTCTCACGTCTGTACACGTCCGTCAGCTCAACCGCGCGGGCATTGTTTCGGCGCCGTGTGCTTCAGCCTGGTTGTTTTGATTGGCAGCGGGTATGCTGTTTCATTTGTTTTCCGGTGCTATCGCGAGTTTCGTGACCGTGGTCTGGGATCTGTTAGATCAGTTGTCATGGTTTGGGATTCGTAAGATGTATTGTCATGGTTTGGGATCCGTTAGATCGGTTGTCATGGTCTGTGATCCATTAGATCGGTTGTCGTGGTCTGGGATCCGTTAGATTGGTTGTCATGGTTTGGGATCCGTTAGATGTGTTGTCATGGTCTGGGATCCGTTAGATCGGTTGCCATGATCTGGGATCCGTTAGATGTGTTGTCATGGTCTGGGATCCGTTAGATCGGTTGCCATGATCTGGGATCCGTTAGATCAGTTGTCGTGGTCTGGAATCCATTAGATCGGTTGTCATGGTCTGGGATCCGTCAGATCGGTTGTCTTTGTCTGGGATCCGTTAGATCGGTTGTCATGGTCCGGGATCCGCTAGGTCGGTTGTCATAGTCTGGGATCCGTTAGATCGGTTATCATTGGCGGGAGCCGGTTCTTCCTTCGCGTCAGTCGGATCACTGCCGCCGCTGCCGCCGCTGCTGCCTCTGCCGACCCAGTCCGGCAGCAGCCTCCCCCCCTCCCCCCCCCCCTGCTGGCGGCTCGCCGGCCTCAATGCCAGATTGCTATCCTTTTGCGCGGCTTCTGGCTGATGTGTTTCGAATCAGGATGGATGTTGGGCGCTGGGGCTGTTCGACCTCTGTCGACCTCCGGAAGCGGTCGACGCCGGACCCGTGCTACAGCGCCGGGCTTGTACAGGAGCACCGGGCCTGTACAGGGATGCCAGGCTTGTTTAGGGGGGTCGTGCCGGTACAGGGGTGCCGGGCTTGCTTAGGGGGGGGGGGGAGGGGCCTGTACAGGGACGCCTAGCCTGTACAGGAGCGCATGGAGCTGAGAAGAGGGCGATGTGTGTCGGCCGCTTGTTCTGAGGGGTGAAGGGGGATGATAATTGGGAGCTGTGCTCAGGCGAAGAATATGGCTCGGCCACGCTGAGAGGAATGTTGAATGTCCTGAGGTACGGGGCTGAGGGGATTGTGGAACGGTTCGTTGGCCTTGATGTGCAATGGTCGGTTGTGGTGAATGTGTTTCAGTGGCCTTCGTTTCCTGTAGCTGGGTTATGTAGCCAGATGGCAAGAGGAGGCTTTGTGCCTCTGAAAGAGACACCCATGATCCAATGTGCGTGCGGCTATGCCCGAATTGTGGGAGAGTTTCTGTACCACTACGATTAATTTCTAAATGTCCGTGTGCCTGTGCACACCGTCTTTGTTTGTTTTTTTGTCCTGCTAAATACATCCGCCCAGACGCCAGAGGAGGCATTGTACTGCCAGACCACGCCATTCCCGTGACCCCGCGCGTGTGCCGCCGCACGCAGGTGGCGGAGGAGGCGCTATACCACTGGAAGACGTTCCCGCTGATTCTGCCTCCCCCGGTGGCCGTGCAGCACCGTGACGTGGACTCGTCCTCGCTGGCCCGCCGGAAGCCGATCGTTGTCAGGTGAGAGCGGCACAAGGGCTGGAAGGGGGGGGGGGGGGGTGAGGCGCCCGCACCCCTGCGGCGGCCTAGCGCCCGCACCCCTGCGACGGCCTAGCGCCCGCACCCTTGCGACGGCGCGGCCGCCAGCGCGCCGCCGCAGGGGTGCGGCTCGTCCACCGCTGCCACCGTGATGTGGTGCTATTGGGGATGGTCAGGGCCTCGTTTTGGCGGATGGATCTGCTCTGTGACGCTCTAACTGTGATCTGGTGTCGTTATGGTGGACAGGTCTACTCTGTGACGCACTAACTGTGATCTGGTGTCGTTATGGCGGATGGGTCTGCTCTGTGACGCACTAACTGTGATCTGGTGTCGTTATGGTGGATGGGTCTGCTCTGTGACGCACTAACTGTGATCTGGTGTCGTTATGGTGGATAGGTCTACTCTGTGACGCACTAACTGTGATCTGGTGTCGTTATGGTGGACAGGTCTACTCTGTGACGCACTAACTGTGATCTGGTGTCGTTATGGTGGATGGGTCTGCTCTGTGACGCACTAACTGTGATCTGGTGTCGTTATGGTGGATAGGTCTACTCTGTGACGCACTAACTGTGATCTGGTGTCGTTATGGCGGATGGGTCTGCTCTGTGACGCACTAACTGTGATCTGGTGTCGTTATGGTGGATAGGTCTACTCTGTGACGCACTAACTGTGATCTGGTGTCGTTATGGCGGATGGGTCTACTCTGTGACGTATCAACTGTGATCTGGTGTCGTTATGGCGGATGGGTCTACTCTGGGACGTATCAACTGTGATCTGGTGTCGTTATGGTGGATGGGTCTGCTCTGTGACGCACTAACTGTGATCTGGTGTCGTTATGGCGGATGGGTCTGCTCTGTGACGCACTAACTGTGATCTGGTGTCGTTATGGTGGATAGGTCTGCTCTGTGACGCACTAACTGTGATCTGGTGTCGTTATGGCGGATAGGTCTACTCTGTGACGCACTAACTGTGATCTGGTGTCGTTATGGTGGATAGGTCTGCTCTGTGACGCACTAACTGTGATCTGGTGTCGTTATGGTGGAAGGTCTACTCTGTGACGCACTAACTGTGATCTGGTGTCGTTATGGTGGATAGGTCTACTCTGTGACGCACTAACTGTGATCTGGTGTCGTTATGGCGGATGGGTCTACTCTGTGACGTATCAACTGTGATCTGGTGTCGTTATGGCGGATGGGTCTACTCTGGGACGTATCAACTGTGATCTGGTGTCGTTATGGCGGATGGGTCTGCTCTGTGACGTATCAGATGTGATCTGGTGTCGTTATGGCGGATGGGTCTGCTCTGTGACGCGCTAACTGTGATCTGGTGTCGTTATGGTGGATAGGTCTACTCTGTGACGCACGAACTGTGATCTGGTGTCGTTATGGTGGATGGGTCTGCTCTGTGACGTATCAACTGTGACCTGGTGTCGTTATGGTGGATGGGTCTGCCCTCTTACGTATCAACTGTGATCTGGTGTCGTTATGGTGGATGGGTCTGCCCTCTTACGTATCAACTGTGATCTGGTGTCGTTATGGTGGATGGGTCTGCCCTCTTACGTATCAACTGTGACCTGGTGTCGTTATGGTGGATGGGCCTGCTCTGTGACGTATCAACTGTGACCTGGTGTCGTTATGGTGGATGGGTCTGCCCTCTTACGTATCAACTGTGACCTGGTGTCGTTATGGTGGATGGGCCTGCTCTGTGACGTATCAACTGTGACCTGGTGTCGTTATGGTGGATGGGTCTGCCCTCTTACGTATCAACTGTGATCTGGTGTCGTTATGGTGGATGGGTCTGCCCTCTTACGTATCAACTGTGATCTGGTGTCGTTATGGTGGATGGGTCTGCCCTCTTACGTATCAACTGTGACCTGGTGTCGTTATGGTGGATGGGCCTGCTCTGTGACGTATCAACTGTGACCTGGTGTCGTTATGGTGGATGGGTCTGCCCTCTTACGTATCAACTGTGACCTGGTGTCGTTATGGTGGATGGGCCTGCTCTGTGACGTATCAACTGTGACCTGGTGTCGTTATGGTGGATGGGTCTGCCCTCTTACGTATCAACTGTGATCTGGTGTCGTTATGGTGGATGGGCCTGCCCTCTTACGTATCAACTGTGATCTGGTGTCGTTATGGTGGATGGGTCTTTGCTGTGACGTACTGGCTCTGATCTGGCGCCCTTATGGTGTATTGGTCTGTTCTGTGACGTATCGATTGCGATCTGGTGTGACGTATCGACTATGACCTGGTGTCGTAATGGTGAATGGGTCTGTTCCGTGACGTATTGACTGTGATCTGGTGTCGTTGTGGGTGAGTGTTCTGTGGCGTATTGACTGTGATCTGGTGTTGTTGTGGTGAATGGGTCTGCTCTGTGACGGATCGACCGTAGCCTGGCGCGTAGGTGGGAATGGCTCAGTGTGTTGGGAGGAGCGGCGTGAGTCTTAAGCCCGCCGTACGCTCGCCTGTTTTTCGTGCGTTGCGTTTCATGTGAAACGAAACGGAACCGGAAGGTGAAAGAGCAACCGACATCACGTGCACCTTAAACAATAAATCACCGGCAACAAACGTTATCTAGTCGAGATAGCAGACAATGGTGCGGCGTTCAAGACTGGGGTTTTAAGACGCGCCGACTTCTATGGTCATTTTGCGGTCGCAGACAGGAATGCGTCTCACAGTAATTCCCCGTGAGGAGCGGAAGCAGTTGTCTGAAATTCAAGTTTTTATCTGCCAAGAGGCAGCGCATCCTGCCATCTCGTGCGCAGGGTGCAGCCCGCCGCGTTGGGGAATCTCATTGGTTCTAACGTTTTGCTACTGGTGAGTTCCGTTCCGCCTCGCATCGTATCGAAACGCTGCGCAGCGAAAAGTAGTCAGTAGGAGACGACCTTTGTGGTGGGAGAGGTCAGCCACGTGACGCCCCGACTGCAGGCGGCCGGCCTCGGTGTCTGCAGGTCGTAGCCGGCTGCTGCAGCGGTGCGGGCTGCTCATCTCGGTCACTAGACTTGTCCCGTCCTGTTGTCTGGACTTTGCTCTTGGTAGCAGTACTCCTTGTCATTAGGCTGGCTGAGCACAGCACAGCGCGACACAGCACATTACAGTACGGCACGGCACGGCACGGCACGGCACGGCACGGCACAGCGCAGCGCAGCGCCCATCCCGCAAGGCTCGGCGAGGGAGCCGTGCCGTCTGCCGTGGAAGCCGTGCCGTCTGCTGCGGGAGCCGTGCCGTTTGCCGTGGAAGCCGTGCCGTCTGCTGCGGGAGCCGTGCCGTCTGCCCTGGAAGCCGTGCCGTCTGCTGCGGAAGCCGTGCCGTCTGCTGCGGGAGCCGTGCCGTTTGCCGTGGAAGCCGTGCCGTGTGCTGCGGGAGCCGTGCCGTCTGCTGCGGAAGCCGTGCCGTCTGCCGGGGAAGCCGTGCCGTCTGCTGCGGGAGCCGTGCCGTCTGCCGTGGAAGCCGTGCCGTCTGCTGCGGGAGTCGTGCCGTCTGCCGTGGAAGCCGTGCCGTCTGCTGTGGGAGTCGTGCCGTCTGCCGGGGAGGCCGTGTCGTCTGCTGCGGGAGTCGTGCCGTCTGCCGTGGAAGCCGTGCCGTCTGCTGCGGGAGTTGTGCCGTCTGCCGTGGAAGCCGTGCCGTCTGCTGCGGGAGTAGTGCCGTCTGCCGTGGAAGCCGTGCCGTCTGCAGTGGAAGCCGTGCCGTCTGCTGCGGGAGTCGTGCCGTCTGCTGCTGGAGTCGTGCCGTCTGCCGTGGGAGTCGTGCCGTCTGTTCCGGGAGCAGTGCCATCTGCTGCGGGAGCCGTGCCGTCTGCTGCGGGAGCAGTGCCGTCTGCTGCGGGAGTCGTGCCGTCTGCCGTGGGAGTCGTGCCGTCTGTTCCGGGAGCAGTGCCATCTGCTGCGGGAGCCGTGCCATCTGCTGCGGGAGCAGTGCCGTCTGCTGCTGGAGCCGTGCCGCCTGCTGTGAGATCCGTACCAGCTGCCGTGAAGGCCTTGCCGTCCGCTCGTCCCACCATCGAGCCGTACCGTGGCGTCAGGGCCTGCTCCGCCTCGCCGGGGCGACTTCGTGGCGTGCTTCTATTTGTTTGAGGACGGCACAACGATGAGTCACGGCTGGCTCAGTCCGACGATTGTCACGATAGGGCTCTGTTTGAATATGGCATGGCGGCGAGTCATGGCCGAGGAACAGTGATTGTGGTCGTGAGATGGGCGAGGAGGAGGGGACGAGACACTGGCCATGTGAAGTCGTGTTCGAGTGCCGGACGTATTGTCATTGGAGATTATAAAATTGTCCAGGTTCTGAGGTCGTGAAGGGACGCACGCCGTGTGCCCCGTGCGTGTGTGTCCGGACCGAGGCTTTGTTAGAGTCGCGGTAAACTCGGCAGTTTGGCGCCGTGTCGTTGTGCGTTTGAACTGAGATGGAAAGTTAGCGAATTTTCCCTGAGCTTGTTAGTCGCGCTGCCAGTTGCTCAAATTTAAGTTTCCATCATCTCCTTATAGCTCTGTCCCGAGCTCCCCGCGTTTGGGCGCACAAGTCGATTTAATGTCCTTGATAATCTTACTGCTGTGGTTCTGCACCTTGTACAGTGTTTGCCGTTGGCGGCCGTGACTCAGTGTCTTTGCATTGATACGTCACGTGACTGTCTTGGTTCTGCGCTGCGGATGCGTCCGTCATTGAGGAGTCCTGTAAGCTTCGTGATTCCCGGGGCCCCGCCTCGTCTGACATTGCGTTTCATGGGATTGTCTCGTCGCCGAACCCTGTAGCGCGCCCCTCGACTCTGTGTCATGTTGCTAAGCTTTGACCTCGTCGTCATGGGACTCTACCGCACTGCTGGGCTCTGTCGGACACTGCTGGACTGCTGAATTCTGTGCCGCATCGCTGGACTCCGTGCCGCGTTGCTGGACTCTATCAATCGCTGAGCGCTGTGCTCCGTTGCTGGACCCTGTGTCAATCGCTGGACTCCTTGCCGCATCGCTGGACTCCGTGCCCCGTTGCTAGACTCTGTAACGCGTTGCTGAACCCCATATTGTGTCGCTGAACTCTGCGCCGTGTCACTGGACTCGGTACAGTGTGTGACACTTCTTCCCCTGCGACAGGGACCTGTTCGTGGTAGAGTATGTGACACCTCTTCCCCCGCGACAGGGACCTGTTCGTGGTACAGTGTGTGACACCACTTCCCCTGCGACAGGGACCTGTTCGTGGCACAGTGTGTGGCACCTCTTCCCCCGCGACAGGGACCTGTTCGTGGTACAGTGTGTGACACCTCTTCCCCACGACAGGGACCTGTTCGTGGCACAGTGCGTGACGCCTTCCCCGCGACAGGGACCTGTTCGGGATACAGTGTGTGACACCTCTTCCCCCGCGACAGGGACCTGTTCGTGGTGCAGTGTGTGACACCTCTTCCCCGCGACAGGGACCTGTTCGTGGTGCAGTGTGTGACACCTCTTCCCCCGCGACAGGGACCTGTTCGTGGCGCCCTGCTTCGATGAGCTGGAAGCGGTGGCCCTGGACTCTGGCGGAGAGCCGCGGAAGCTCAGCGCCAAGCAGCTGGCCTCCGTGCGCGAGTCCGGGTAGGTGGTCTGGAGCCGGCACGTCGGCTATATGTCAGCCTTGGGTCAGTTGTGGGTCACTGACTGTCAGTTATAGGTGGACGGCGATCTGCCCAGACCTGTCTTAAAAGGTGGCCACAAGCTTAGACATGAAAAGTTGCTCAGCGTGTCAGTTCAGTCAGCGGCTGGCTGGCTGGGGAAGTGTTCGTGCTCGATGGCGATAGCAGTACGGTGGAGATAAACCCAGCACTGGCGGCTGGCCCGGACCCGTGAGGGTGGTCCTGAGCTGGCTGGCCGCAACCGTGCCGCGTGCCGTCCGTGATCCCCTCCTGGCACTGGCTGTCACGCGGCGGCCCCTTGTACCGACTGTTAGCTAGCCCGTGCACTGGCCCCTGGGCCCGGCTTTGCCGACTAACCACTGCAGCGAATGCCGCCCGGCCAGCAACCCCGGGCCGCGGCAGGCCCCCTCCCGGCTCGGGTATTGCGTGGGTGCATGGTGACATCACCTGACCTGATCTGAAGTGACCTGTGACGCGTGGCGCGTCCGGCGGGCTGGGGTCACATCGGGTCACGGGCCGCGCTCGGTGGCGGAGGCACAGGCGAGCAGCGCTGAACACCAGGCGTCGCTGAGCATATCGGAGAAGAGAACATAAGAGAACATGGCGGATCAATGCGTAGAAACACATCTCGTGTTAGTTAGCATGGAGGTCCGAGGTATCACTTACTTACACCTTGCCATCAGCTGTGAATAGTGAAGACTGTTATACTACCGTCCCCTCCCTCAAGGGTTTCAGAGGCTAGCAGGATTAACATTACCTTGTGGTGACGCTGGATGGGGGTCTTCCCGCAGGAACATTTCTTGCATACGTGTCTTCACAGTGTCGTTCAGAGTATACCACGCTTGTGCTTTTTGGGCCCGGAAATGTACATGGATGAAATTGCCACTCTTACGTAGTAAAGACTTGTTTTGGCGGCCCGCCGGACGTTCCGGTCGTGCTGCCACCTATGATCGACGGCAGGAGCTAACGGTTCGCTGCCATCCCTTGGGGGGCACCGCAGCAGCTGCAGCAAGGCCAAGGCGACGCCCCGGCGCCGGCTAACCGCGCAGCAGCTTCGTTCGATCCGGCGGCGCGGGTAGGTCACGGCCGCCCGAGGTCGAGGTCACCTGTGGGTCAAGGTCACTGCTGACTGTCTTCTGATCTCTCGCTCGCAGCACGAGCGGCCTGCTAGCTACCTCTGCATGCAGTCGTGATGTGGATGCACGGGCCGTCGGGTGCATGTCGGGGTGTCGTGTGGCGGCCGAGCCGTCTGGATCCTGTGACCCTTTGTGTGATAGTCGGGTTGCCACACCCGGAGCGCCGTCTCGTGCCGTGGCCTTTCCGCTGCTGGTGGTTCGACCGCCCAATGGCGGCGCCGACCTCGGCGGCTGGGTCGACGACAAACGGCGGCTCGTCCGTCGCCATGGCCTGGGCAGAAAACAAAAACAAGGCGGGCTGACAGGGAGGATAAATTCAGGGGCATTTTTCTTGGTAGGAGGGTATTCCTGGGAACTGATTCCTTCTCTCTGGCGATCTAGCATTTGGATTCGCGCGGAGTTATCAAAAAGTGGACTTATTCGTAGTTTGTTGGGGTAGCTCTCCGGTGATTTATTCTTGTTGAGTTTCTGGGGTATCTTTTGCGTTATTTTGTTGCACCCGTTTCCTTCATACGCTGGTCTGTAGATCTATATGTTCTAGTGGAGCGCAGATTCGTTTGTAATTGTCTCGATTCCATTTTGACAGGCGTGTGGGTATTGTATCTCGCGCGGTCACGGTTTCGCCTGCATATACGCCCAAGCACGTAATCGCATGCGTTCCGTGTTTATTTCACGATGCATGTGACCGTTGTGACTGAAACCGGTACCCAGCACTCGCTGGTCGCTGGTCGTCGTACGCTGGTTTTCATGGAAAGCAAATACATCCGGTGCTGAATTTGGGACCAAGGACGTTTCCCGGACGAGAATTGAGCTCCAACCCTGAGCCGTGGTGTCTACATGAATGTGAACGCGGACGCACTAGGTGTCTCGCAAGACCCAGCTGCGTTTATTATGGCTATGAGCGCGAAAGCCAGCCTCTCATCTCTCTCTCTCTCTCCGTGTACGCCCCCTCCCCTCTCCTCACCCCCGAGTGGCCGCTTCTCACCGCTAACGGCCCCTTCTCACCGCTCACGGCCCCCGCGCACCGCTTTCGGCCCTGTTTTACCCTGAAAGGCCGTTCTCACCGGCCGCTGACGCTGTGTTAGGACTGCAGTGCGGTATTGATCCCGGCGTTTGCTTCTGTGATGCCATAACCTCAGTTGCCATAACCTCACCGCAGTGAATTCGCTGTTCTGTGTGCCAACTTTGACGGTGTCTGGACCACGCGTTTCAAACTGAGTCGTTTTCGCTGGTTGGCTGGTCGTGTCTCGTCCGCGGCAATCATTGCCGCACTTGTCGCTCGTCAGCTTCTCGTGGCTGCTGAGAACGGCGAGTCCGTTTCGATGGCCGGGAGGCGCGCCTCGCCGTCATTTCACAGGAGTGACCACACACTGGGCCGATCCACAGCCGCCAGACGGCGGCGCTACCCTGCCGGATCCGTATCACTGAGACTCCGTTCATACTATGCACTTAGTGTGCTCTTACTGCAGGCCAGCCGATGACTGCGGCGGTTTCGTCGAGAGCAGAAACCGCTGACGCCCCCATCCAGGCCGGCTCCGTTCCTCCCCCGTCCCATGTTCCATTCAGTGGACTCGCCGTTTGGCCGATTCGCGCTGAGGTTCACGTGCCGGAGGAGGGGTTCGGCGAGTCTGTGTTCTACGTCCACACTCCCGCACTAATCCAACGAGTTTGTTTACATGGAGAGGCTCCTGTGAAAATCGCTTTGTTATTGCAAGCTTCGCCCGGCTTCCACCAGCATACGTCGACACTCCATCGACGTCGTTGTACAGACTCGCCCCCGCGGATGTTCCAGCGAGTGGACTCTAATAGGCGTTCCAGTAACTTTAAGCTGTACTCTCGTGCGCGTGGCTGGTGACCCCAGCTGGTGTGTCTGGCCGACTGGCTGGCGGCATGAAGTTCCAGCGCTGAAGTCATGACTGACCTTCCGTTGGCTCCCACGTGCGGCACGTGGCTTTGACTTGGTGATGGTGACTGTAAGCTGGCGCTGATCCATTGACTCCCATGTGCGACACGTGGCTTTGACTTGGCGATGATGACTGTAAGCTGGCGCTGATCCATTGACTCCCAAGTGTGGCGGCACATGACCTTGACCTGGTGATGGTGACTGTGAGCTGGCGCTGACCGCCGTCTGCGGTGCGGACGGGCGTTGCAGTGAGTTCGAGGTGGAGTCGCTGAACTTCGCCGGCCAGGTGCACCGCTGGCGCCTCTCCGAGCTGCTGCAGAAGGGCACAGAGCGCTCCTACCTCAGCTACCTGGACGATCTGGCGCTGGCACTCAGGTGAGATGGTGTTGACTACCTGGTGCTGGCGCTCAGGAGAGATGGTGTGGACGAACTGACGCTGGCGCTCAGGTGAGATGGTGTGGACGAACTGACGCTGGCGCTCAGATGAGATGGTGTGGACGAACTGACGCTGGCGCTCAGATGAGATGGTGTGGACGAACTGGCGCTGGCGCTCAGATGAGATGGTGTGGACGAACTGACGCTGGCGCTCAGGTGAGATGGTGTTGACTACCTGGTGCTGGCGCTCAGATGAGATGGTGTGGACGAACTGACGCTGGCGCTCAGGTGAGATGGTGTGGACGAACTGGTGCTGGTGCTCAGATGAGATGGTGTCGACTACCTGGTGCTGGCGCTCAGATGAGATGGTGTGGACGAACTGACGCTGGCGCTCAGGTGAGATGGTGTTGACTACCTGGTGCTGGCGCTCAGATGAGATGGTGTGGACGAACTGACGCTGGCGCTCAGGTGAGATGGTGTGGACGAACTGGTGCTGGTGCTCAGGTGAGATGGTGTGGGCGAACTGGTGCTGGCGCTCAGGTGAGCTGCTCGCACCGTTCTCTACTCGCTGCTGGCCCCGTCCCGCCCTCGCTCCCGGCTGTGTGTGCGCCCACCCTGCACCGGCCCTCCAGAATGATGAGACAGTCGGCCATCGAGTGGTGTGTGCAGGTACTTAGTCTTTGGCATTGCCAAACAGTGTTGAGAACCGAGACCAGATAATGTTCCGGGGATGCGGACCGAACCCACGACCCTCTATCTGGAGTCCACGTGCTTCATGGGTTCACCGGCCGCTCTGAGAACGTGCGTCGGCCGTGTCGGCAGGTTCCTGATCATCACGGCGCGCGGTCGCGTGGGCTCCCACTTCTTCTCGCTGCGCCAGTCGCTGCGCGCCCTGCTTCGAGGTCTCGTGCTGCTCGTCGGTGAGTGCCAGTCAGGGGTCGTCCAGCGGGCTCGCTGTGCCAGCCAGGGGTCGTCCAACGGGCCCGCTGTACCGGTCAGGGGTCGTCCAACGGGCCCGCTGTACCGGTCAGGGGTCGTCCAACGGGCCCGCTGTGCCGGTCAAAGGTCGTCCAGCGGGCCCGCTGTGCCGGTCAGGGGTCGTCCAGCGGGCCCACTGTGCCGGTCAGGGGTCGTCCAGCGGGCCCACTGTACCGGTCAGGGGTCGTCCAGCGGGCCCGCTGTGCTGGTTAAGGGGGGGGGGGGGGGGCGAGACGCCCAGCGTGTTGCTAAGGCGGGCTCCGCGCGCAAAGGTGCTTTTCAGCATTGTTGCGTGTCTTCTTCCGCCACGGCCGCTTTTGCCCCCGAACTTCTGTTTTGAATGCATGTAGGGGCATAGGGATGTCTTATTTTGGTTTCGTTCGTCGGGAACACGAAACAAACCGTGTGATGACCTAAATCCGTCGCACGCACGTACCATGAGTGGGCTGTTGCGCAACATCTCTTTTCTGAGATATGACTTGAATCGGTGATAAGTGAAAAGCAGAAGTATGCTAATGCTGGTCGACGAAGCCTCTGACAAACACTCTTGTTAAATTACACCTTATTCGTCAAGGTTCAATGTTAGCGAAAATCGGAGGCAGTATCAATATCTGCGAGCAATGTTGACACCATATTAGATGATTTTGACAGAGGGACGGTCTTTAACAATAGTGAGGGCAGAATCGGGAGAAAACGTTCGTCGAGAGGCCAGGAAGACGTTAAGAAAGCGGTATCTGTCATGCTCAATGCCGTACCATTCTGTACCATACATGCTGTGCCATGCCATGCCATGCCATGCCATGCCATGCCATGCCATGCCATGCCATGCCATGCCATGCCATGCCATGCCATGCCATGCCATACCATACCATACCATACCATACCATACCATACCGTACCGTACCGTACCGTACCGTACCGTACCGTACCGTACCGTACCGTACCGTACCGTACCGTACCGTACCACAACACACGATACCATACAATTTATTGGAGCAAATCCTTACAATAGCGGCTTTTATTGGCCTATCTTCGCACGAGAGGATTGTGGAAATGAACACGCGGCCAAATCACATAACCCCTACACAGTCAGTAAAAGCTTGATTACCGCCGCAACATCCTCCCGCGAACACTAATCAGATCAGATCAGATCACAGAAGAAGCGGGAGTGCGTCGCAGCCCAGCGAAACTGATCTTCAAGGGACATCCTGCCCTAATGGCATGCGGCACCTCCATTCAACAGAGACGTGTGCAGTCAACAGGGAGAACGGATCACTTTTTCAAAGCAGATTGCGGAGGACGCTGATACACACGAGACTCCTTCGCAATGCGGGGTTCACCCAGAGAGCTCGTCGCTGCTTAGACTGAAAGGTCAGCGCGCAGAACCGCTGAATCCGGGCTTCTGAGCCTTTAGGCATGTCCGGGAGACACCCATACGCGGCAAAAAACCTCACCTCTTGGCCTGCATGAAACTGTAAGCAAGGTAGGACCAATTTAGACAGTTTGTGCTATTTGGATAAATCGGGAGTAGCTCTGGGCTTTGCTCTCAGCATGTGTAGCCTTCTGTGAGCTCATGTTCGCCTGGGCAAAAGGTCAGCACGCAGGTCCGCAACAGCTCGGTCGCTGGACCCCAGGCATATCTGGCAGGGGGCCCGACAGAGCGAGGAGCCTCGGTCTGTGGACCCCAGGCATATCTGGCAGGGGGCCTGACAGAGCGAGGAGCCTCGGTCTATGAACCCCAGGCATATCCGACAGGGAGCCCGACAGGGCGAGGAGCCTCGGTCTGTGGACCCCAGGCATATCCGGCAGGAGGCCCGACAGAGCGAAGAGCCTTGGTCTCTGGACCCCGGGCGTATCTGGCAGGAGGCCCGACAGAGCGAGGGGCCTCGGTCTCTGGACCCCAGGCATATCCGACAGGGGGCCCGACAGAGCGAAGAGCCTCGGTCTATGAACCCCAGGCGTATCTGACAGGGGGCCCGACAGAGCGAGGAGCCTCGGTCTCTGGACCCCAGGCATATCCGACAGAAAGCCCGGCAGAGCGAGGAGCTCGCCGTTGGGTTAACTGTAAGCTGTGCGGCGTGACGGGCCATTGGGGTTTAAAACACAAACGGCAGCTCTGCTTCTACGCCCAGGTCGTGTCTCTGGTCATGGGCCGTCTGGAGCTGCCACCTGTGGGCACATGCTCTGATGCCAGCAGGACGAAATGCCAACCCCGGCGGACATGGGTGCGCAGTGTCTGGGAGACAGCACCAGTAAAAACACGGATAGCAGCAAGTCCCGACGCGTGTGGACGCACTTGTTGGACTTGACGCCCCCCAAGCTGCTGCCGTTGAGGCTAAAGGAAGGACAGTGTCCACCAGACATACCCTCAGAATTTCAATACAAGCAAGATATTCCTCGACCCGTTGTTTTGACATGATGAGTTCATACTTCCGGGCCAAACGTTGAGATCAAGATGAGAGTTATGGGTTATGCACAGTTTCAGACGTCAGTTATATACGATATATGTTTGCCTAACAATGTTGTTTGGCCCTTACGTCCTGGTATATTGAAGTGCGATGACTGTTAGCATAACAACTCCGAATTTGCAATGCCTCAGAATCTCAGCGAACTGAAGAGTGTCAGTTGTCACAAGGTGTGCGCGACTCCCATTCAGTCATGCGCTGAGGTGAAATAAAGCCAGGACTGGCCAGTTGGTGTACGTCTGGAAAGGATGGAGATCAAAAGCACGGTGTAGCTTTTTTAAAGTGTTCTCCCGGTATGTGTCCGTGCCCTTCAGATGTCTCCTCACACATTTCGTTGTTCTTCGTTCTTCTTCGCGCTTCTTGTGTTTCTCTGCACCTGCGATTTGCCCCCTTGACGTGTCCTCTGGCGCCCCTAACATGTCCTCTTGCGCCGTTGACATACTCTCTTACGCCCTTGACATGTTCTATTGCACCCTTCATGTACTCTTATGCCGTTAAGATGTCTTCTTGCGCCCTTAACATGTCCTCTTGCGCCCTTAGCATGGCCGCTTGCGGCTCGCGCCCTTAACGTATTCCCTAGCACCCCGAATGTGTCACGGATGTTTCTCTCAGGTCATACACCCTGGTATGTCTCGTGCCTGGGGTGCCGGGTGTCTGTGCCCTTGTATCTGTGCCTGTATGTCTGTGCCGGGTGTGTGACTCACACTGTCAGCTGTGGTGCGTTCCGGCCCGTCCCTTCAACACGTTGCGCTTCCATTTCAGATGTGTTCGCTGGCTTTCCGTCCCTGCGCAGCCGCAACCTGGACTCGAAGCTGCTGGAGGAGCGGTGCAAGTACCTGGTGGCCGAGCTCGTGTGTAAGGTAGGGCGCCTGCAGCTCATGTGTCCCGCGCCTTCACCAATATGTGGCAGTCGGCGCATTTGCCGGGTATGTCTCCGATCTGTAGAGGTCGTCACCTATGGCCGGCGACGGCACCGGTCTGCCGACGTCTCCTCGTCTGTCTTGTACCTTCAACGGCTCGTGGTCGTCTCCAGCCATGTCCTTTGTGGCAGCTGATCGGTGTTTGGCTCAATAATACCACCACCGCCGCCCTCTTCTTACTTGTCATATACATTCGATAATGTATCAAGGCTGTAAAGGGAAGGCTGTTGTGAATTAATGGACGGATGGAGCTCGATGGGAGGATTGAGTACGCCGTGGGCTCAGCAAACTTGCATGAAGTGTAGTGTGATATGAAATACCCACAACCAGTGTAAAACTTGAAATTGAAGAGGGGTTACAACCAGTTCTTTATAGCTAGCGATGCTACTCTGGCCAAAAAACGCAATGCTCTGAGAAAGTTATGCCGTAGCATCGTCGGAAACGCTCACGCATTGTGTGCCGAAGCATACGTCGTTATCCATAACCAGTGATCGCTAATGCACCTTCATGTAAGGGATTATGTCGCTCTGCCAGAAACGCTGCCGGGAACACTGCGTCTCAAACGCCGCCGGGAACACTGCGCCTTGAACACTGCCGGGAACACAACCCTTGGACGCTGCCGGGAACACTGTGCCTCAAACACTGCCGGGAACAATGTGCCTTAAACGCTGCCGGGAACACAGCCCTTGAACGCTGTCAGGAACACTGCGCCCTAAACGTTGCCGGTAACACTGCTCCTCAAACGCTGTCGGGAACACTGCGCCTCAAACGCTGCCGGGAACACTGCGCCTCAAACGCTGCCGAGAGCACTGCGCCTTCAACACCGCGCCCTAAACGCTGCCGGGAACACTGCGCTTCAAACGCCGCCTGAAGACAGCCTATGAACGGCCGCACCAAAAGCGTTGTCGTGTGCCGCTGTCGGCAGCCGGAGCAGGAGGACGCGCTGGACGAGCTGTGCCACTACATCCGGCGCCAGCTGGAGCGGCTGCGGCTCGAGAAGTACCAGCTGACGGAGCAGGGCCGGCCACCGCTGCTCTATACCTTCCACACGCCGCACGGGCTGACGGTGGACCTGCGTCTGTTCAACAGGTCAGTCTCGTGCTGGATGGCGGGTACAGATCATGTATAATAAGTGGTGGGATGCAGATGCATATGCACTGCCAGCTTTACTTAGACAGGTACACGTCTATGATGCGGAGGCACATGGCTGTGAGCGGGGGTACACGGACGTAGTTGTGCGTACAGAGATACACATTCAGGTGCAGGTGCGCGCGGACAGGTGTAGTACCAGCCTAAGACATTAATTGTCATGTCACGTGTGGAATATATTGTCCGGACGAATTTAACGGGAGACTTTCGTTTGTTTGTTGCCTTTTGACGCTCTTCGACGCCTTTCACCTCTCGGTTTTCGGCCTCCTCTGTGGTGGCTGCCACAACGTGTTGTGTCGTGCTCTTTTGTGTTTGAACTTCTCAGTGGGGTTTTCCCAGGGAGTCGTCATTCTCTCGTCTAGGGACAGGTGTCGTCAGTGCTCCGATTAGCTGTGGTCGTGTTCGGTATTACTTGTCAGGACGCCCGTTACCGACGCGTCCCCCTGCTGGGACGAACCGCTGTCTCCTTCTCCAGTGTGACCTGCCCCGTCTCATGCCCGGGGGTGTGGTGTGTCGCTCTGCCCTGACGACCCTCTACCTCCCCCTGCCCCCCCCCCCCCCGTGTGACGTGCTCGGTGACCTGGCCAGGGAGCTGATGAGGCGGGCGCTGCCGGTGCTGACGGCCATCCTGGAGACGGAGTCGCGCGGCTGGTTCGTCCCCTTCCGCGAGCATGTCATCACCGAGCTGAAGGCGCAGGACCTGGATGACGATCAGATACAGACGGTGAGGCAGGGCCAAATGCAGGCGGTGGGGGAGAGTCAGGTACAGGCGACGGGGGGGGGGGGGGCTGATACAGGCAGTGGGGTAGAGCCAGATACAGGCGGTGAGGCAGAGCCAGAAACAGGCGTCGAGGGAGAGCCAGGTATAAGCGGTGGGGAAGAACCAGACGCAGGCGGTGGGGGAAAGCCAGACAAAGGCGGTGCTGCGACTGGCAACTAACATGTGCAAATCTCTTTGATCTCTCATAAATGGTTTTTGGCACACGGCTGAATTATTTGTCGGATTTCTGAGCACCTTTCAGTTCAGCATTGCATTCGTGATGATGAGTGAAACGCCACTGAACATTATTAATGGCGTGGGGGAAGATTAATGATATTTTGTGAGACTTGCGATAGGTACTGGCGTTGTTCATCGATGCGTGCAGCTCCAGACCATTGACGCATTAGCCTGCATGTGGTTGGAATCTGGAATCTGGAGCGAGTCTGGTTGGTCGTGGCTAGTGGGAGTCTCCGAAAGCGGTCCACCTGTGCTGACAGTCCCCCACCTCTGTGTGGCCAGAGCGCCAGCCGCGCGGTGCAGGACGAGTACCTGCGGCGGGTGCTGGCGGCGGTGAGCGCCAGCCCGGAGTTGGCCGAGCTCGAGGACGGCCTGACGGCGCTGCTGGTGGAGAACGCCCAGTCGGTGGTGCTGATGCACAGGTGAGAGCCTGGGCCCTGACCTCCCCTCCCGTCACGCTCCAGATGTTTGGTGGTAGCATATCGTATTGCTCTTTGTCGAGTGGACTGTGTTGCGTATCGATTGTTGACCGGTGCGACGTCTGAACCGGCCGGCGCCCCCCCCCCCCGCAGGGCAATGGAGAATGTTCACCGGTCCGGCCTCTCCCTCCCCCCCCCCCCCGCAGCGCTGTGGAGAATGTTCACCGGTCCGACCTCCGCCCCCCCCCCCCCCCCACAGGGCCGTGGAGAACGTGTCGCGCAAGCTGGAGAGCTTCCAAAAGGGACTGAGTCACTACCTGGAGAGCCACCATCCGGTCCGGTGGCGCATCCCGGCCTGGGTCCGACACCAGTTCAGGACGGCAGAGGTCAGTCAGGAGGCCAGGGATGCTTCAGGATGGCAGGATGCAACTAAGGCGGCCGGGGCCAGTCAGGATGCAGAGGTCAGCCAGGAGGACGTGGCAGTCTGGGAGGCCGAGGCAGTCTGGGAGGCCGAGGGAAGGCATGAGGTCGGTGCAACTGAGGAGGTCGGGGTCGGTCAGGAGGCCAAGGTCAGTCAGGAGACCGTGGACGATTCAGGAGGCCGAGGCGGTCCACGAGGTGGAGACCAATTGTCCATTGTTTCATGAGGTGGCGTGGATGAGGCGTCGCAGGCATCGGTAATGTGTATTGAAGTTCAGTAGTGTGAGGGCAGTAAATGTTGCCGCTATCCCGGGGTGTATTTGATGGCGTTCAGCGGGGTTGTTCAGTAGCCTCTCCCCGTCCTCACTGTTCGGCAGGACTGCTGCTGGACTGGCGACCGATACATGAGCTGATGCGCCTGCGCCTGACAGTCGGCGACTGTCACACGCCATCCGTCACGGCGAAATCAGCCACTGTTATTGCATGCACAAAGGGTGTGGATATGTCGCCTTATGAAAATAAGTTGTGCGTTTTTAAGAATCTCCCTTCACACATGTTTCAGGGAATTAGCAGGCCTTAAAAGGGGGTTGTATAGGACTTCTCAAACTTTGTCAATTTGTGGTCTATTTTGCGCCCGTGTCCCGCGTAATATCCCGGTGCTCGATGTCGGGCCGATGTGCTCTGGGTGCCGTGCTCTGGTGGGCTGGCTGTGCTCCGTGCCTGAAAGCCGTGTCCCCAGCCTGACGGGTGCCGTGCTCTAGAGGCCTGGCTGTGCTCCGTACCTGAGAGCCGTGTCCCCAGCCTGACGGGCGCCGTGCTCTGGAGCCCTGGCTGTGCTCCGTACCTGAGAGCCGTGTCCCCAGCCTGACGGGCGCTGTGTTGGGCAGAGCCGGTTCGTACTGGAGCACCAGTGGAGCGCGCACGAGGAGGCGCTGGCGCTCTGTAAGGAGCACGGCCTGCACCAGACGGCTTACTTTCTGCTGCGCGACCTGGCCTTCATGAAGGAGGTACGACGCCGGCGGCCGGCCGCGGATTGGGTCACGGACACTGCCCTGTCGTGCTGCTGTCTCTCATAGTTTTTTACATCCTTGGTGAATAGCGGAGGCACACAAAATTGGTTCGTCAGGTGAAAGTGTCAAGCCGTTATGAAGTGTCCCTGTTTTGAAGCGATCATGAAAGGTTGCTGAGGAGGAATTTCGGGTCTTGTTGGTAGTGCCTCTCCTCAGCCTCAAGTAGTGATAGTTTATCTCCGGAGGTAATGTGGTCTGCGTGGAACAAGGACAACTTAAGCATCCAGCGTTTGGGTTTTACCGACCTCATTTGTGGCCGGTTGCGTGAGCGCCTTGCTGGGACGGATTCTCGTGTGGCTGCCCTTTGGTCAGTAGAAGTGTCGGTCAATGCTGCATTTTCTGTGTGGTGTCTGTAGGCGCGGCCATTGTGTGATACGTTAGTGATATATTCAGAGTGACCCAATCTCCTCCCCAGAATCATTATAATTATCATCATCATTTGGCATTGCTCGTCACGCTAGCTACACACGGTCTAGTGCGTGCATTCAGTAAAGGCCATTAATGTGTCCATGCATCGGTGTATGCTCCCACTCGCGGCATATTTGTTTTATCCACACTCTGGCGTGCCTTCTCAGTCCCTGCTCCACCCTGGGCTCATCACTGCCAGCATTCGTCCCTGCTCTGTCCAGAGCTCTGTCCTTTGAGTGGACCGAGCCGCTCGATACCCCGTGGCGTTAGGATGTGGTTTGTGACGTTTCCCGAGGTGAGAGTCTGACCTATAATCTCAGTCTCCCACCGCCCTCCTCGCCCCCCCCCCCCTCTGGTGATGTTCTGTGGCCTGTAACCTGAGTGCTCTCTCAGTGGCTAGTCTATGACCAGATTTATGCTTGTTAGTTAGTGTTGGACGCGTGGCCTGCGGGCAGTTTGTCGAGCGCCGCCAGCGGTCGGTCTGCAGCACGCGGCCAGTCCGCTGGCCCACCGGCGGGTCTGACCGCTGACCGGTGACCCGTCGGCAGCTGGTCTGCAGCACACGGCCGGTCAGCGACCCGCCGGCACCCGCTCTGTAGCACGCGGCCAGTCCGCTGGTCCAACGGCGGGTCTGACCTCTGACCAGTGACCCGCTGGCAGCCGGCCAGTCCGCTGACTCACCGGCGGGTCTGACCGCTGACCGGTGACCCGCCGGCAGCCGCTCTGGCCGTGAGCCGCCAGCCTGTGACCCGCGCCCGTTCCGCCGGCAGCCGGCCAGTCCGCTGGCCCACCGGCGGGTGTGACCTCTGACCAGTGACCCACCGGCAGCCTCTCCGGCCGTGAGCCGCCCGCCTGTGACCTGTCCCGTTCCGCCGGCAGCCGCTCCGGCCGTGAGCCACCCGCCTGTGACCCGCGCCCATTCCGCCGGCAGCCGCTCCGGCCGTGAGCCGCCCGCCTGTGACCTGTCCCGTTCCGCCGGCAGCGTGAGCCGGTGCTGCTGAAGGAGCTGCGGCGGGTGAAGGCGCCGACGCGGGTGTTCGAGTGGCGCACCCACATCTGGCTGTGGTCCAACTGGACCGTCTACAGGAGGTTCCAGGTCAGCCCGCCGTCCCCCCGCCCCCATCCTCTCTTCGGGCTCCTCGCTCTGCTGTGCCGCCGACAGGAAGGTGACAGCGCTGCACTTGGCGTTGGGTCCCGAAGCCAAGAATAGTTGGGACAGCGGGGTGCAGTCACCGCGGTTCCAACGAATAGGTTAACTAGGTACAAAACTGAACAAGTGTTGGTTGACTTCTGAATGGACCGCTTCAGACGAAACCTCGAATGGTATGGGCTTCTAACGACATTTCGCTGATCGGTAAACAGCCAGATTAGCTGATACCCGTAAAGTCAGTTCTAAGTTTTCCTGTTCTGTCAAGGAACTTGGTTTGCGTTGTTCTTGCCCTAATGGCCAATCTCAGTATCAAACGAGTCACGGTTGGTCATCCTTTCCCAAGTTTTGCTGGCTGCCTGGTTGGGTGCCAGAGTTAAGACCATAAGTTCGTTGGTGAAACAGCGAAATTTGGCGACCGGTTATGCTTTATGACGACGACTTGCCTGCTCGGGATACCGCTGGGTCGTGCATTCCACGCGTGGCAGCGGCGGCGCCGGTGAATGTCTCGGCGGGATATTACCGGGCCGCAGTGTCGAAAAAGGTCCCTAGATGCTGGTATTGAAGCAGCCTGTTAATTGGTGCACATCTCACGTTCCTCGCCGGGTGTTTTTGGTGTTTTGGAGTGTTTTTCCGTGCTGCACTTTTGTACGCCCCATTAATGAGACGTCTTTTGAAGATAGCCGTACACTCAAAGACCACCGTCGTGGAGCGAATCGCCCACGCTGATGTCCATCTTTTCGTTCCCTGAAAAATCACTCACCTTCGTAAACAACTAGCGAAGCAAGTCTGTAGTAGATGTCAAATCGAGATCACAAAGGGTTCTTTAAGTAGATTATCGCAACAAATTATGGCGGATGATATAACGAAGTATAGACGGCCACGGCACTACGGTGGGATGGTGGTCTTGATCACACACACAGCACACAAAAGCGTTATCATTGTTTGTTTTTTTCGTCGCAAACCGGACACCCCGCTCTGGTCACGGGGCCTTGCCGTCACTATGCTATCCAACTTGGATACGTCCAATTGAAGGCCTGTGTACTGCACAGCTTTCGCACCTCCTTTCAGACGGAGCCAGCATGGCTTATGCAAACCTAGTCAGTCATGCCGGTCTTGGCTGTGCGATTTCGACCATGTAGCCTGTCTCATGCGACGTGCATGCCATGTATGCCCATGGTTTGTTCCGGCGGACGGGGCGTGCTTAGTGCCTCGTGCTGTTACATTTGTATATGGCATAGATTGTGTGCTTCCTGCAGCGACTATCAGTTCATTTGTGTTGACATGGCTTGCTGTGCCAGCTAATGGTATGGATTGGGGTTGGACGGCGCGTGTGGTGGCGCCTGGGCTCTGCGGCTGGGCTGAGCGTCAGTGGCGCCCGATGGCCTGGCTGAGCGTCAGTGGCGCCCGATGGCCCGGCTGGGCGCCAGTGGCGCCCGATGGCCTGGCTGAGCGTCAGTGGCGCCCGATGGCCCGGCTGGGCGTCAGTGGCGCCCGATGGCCTGGCTGAGCGTCAGTGGCGCCCGATGGCCTGGCTGAGCGTCAGTGGCGCCCGATGGCCTGGCTGAGCGTCAGTGGCGCCCGATGGCCCGGCTGGGCGTCAGTGGCGCCCGATGGCCTGGCTGAGCGTCAGTGGCGCCCGATGGCCCGGCTGAGCGTCAGTGGCGCCCGATGGCCCGGCTGGGCGTCAGTGGCGCCCGATGGCCTGGCTGAGCGTCAGTGGCGCCCGATGGCCTGGCTGAGCGTCAGTGGCGCCCGATGGCCCGGCTGGGCGTCAGTGGCGCCCGATGGCCTGGCTGAGCGTCAGTGGCGCCCGATGGCCTGGCTGAGCGTCAGTGGCGCCCGATGATCTGGCTGAGCGTCAGTGGCGCCCGATGGCCTGGCTGAGCGTCAGTGGCGCCCGATGATCTGGCTGAGTGTCAGTGGCGCCCGATGGTCTGGCTGAGCGTCAGTGGCGCCCGATGATCTGGCTGAGCGTCAGTGGTGCCCGATGGCCTGGCTGAGCGTCAGTGGCGCCCGATGGTCTGGCTGAGCGTCAGTGGCGCCCGATGGTCTGGCTGAGCGTCAGTGGCGCCCAATGGCCTGGCTGAGCGTCAGTGGCGCCCGATGATCTGGCTGAGCGTCAGTGGCGCCCGATGGTCTGGCTGAGCGTCAGTGGCGCCCGATGGCCTGGCTGAGCGTCAGTGGCGCCCGATGATCTGGCTGAGCGTCAGTGGCGCCCGATGGTCTGGCTGAGCGTCAGTGGCGCCCGATGATCTGGCTGAGCGTCAGTGGCGCCCGATGATCTGGCTGAGCGTCAGTGGCGCCCGCTGGCCTGGCTGAGCGTCAGTGGCGCCCGCTGACCCGGCTGAGCGTCAGTGACGCCCGCTGGCCTGGCTGATGGACATCTGCGCCGGCAGGGGGACAGCAAGGCCATCCCCACCGTGATCTCGCAGACCCCGACCAGCATCACCAACCCCCGCAACAATCCCAACGAGGTGCGTATCGCCGGCGCGGCAGCCACAGTCTGGGGAAGGGGAGGGAGCTGCGACGCAAGACACAGGCACCTGAGCTCGGTGCTACGCCCAAACCCACATCCGAGGGTGGGGGGAGGGGGGAGCGTGCGTGCGAGCGTTGTGAACGCTTGTCGCTTTGTATTTTTGGTACTATCACGCGCTCTTGGAAAAGGAAGTCAGTTGTTTTCTTGTATGAGTTGTCACGTTTCGTGCAGTGCCAGTGTTGTCGCGAATGACGCCTTGACTGATACAGTGTAGCTCCCCTGCCCCCTCCCCCCCACACTTACATGGAAAAGGAAGGCGTTGGTTTGCTTGCAGGATATGGCCAAGCCGCTCAACGGCTGGCTTGGAAATGTTACTCGATGTAAAGTGCCTTGTAACCAGGCACTCAAGTTCTGTCGTCCTGTAGCCCCCAATCACTTCACTGTCACCGGTCTGTTATCTCAGCCGGTGTTTTTCCTGGAGAAGGACGTGGTGAGGACGACCACCACCAGGTGGCTCTTCTGGCGCTGGGCCAACTTCCTGCACCGGCTCTGGAGCTGGGGCTCCAACGGCATCTACCTGCTGGGGGTGAGTGCGGGCCTGACTCAGCTGCCCGCCAACAGGGGGTGCCACCGCGCTGCCTCGTTCTCCAGAGGCCTGTTCAAAATACTGCCATGAGTCTGGTGTTGGTAGCATGGCGTGTGGTGTACATAACATGATTGCGTCCTGCTGTATGTGCAACTGTGAGAGGTTGTGTTGTCAGTCTCCGCGGCGTCGTTAATCCACTACGCCGGCAAGGGTTCGTCAGAGGTTTAAGTTATTTGCTGGATTTCATTAGGAGCTCATCTTCATGCAGAATCCAGCCGATACCGATCCAGCATACATGTTGGTCCGCATACTTTTGTTGATAAAGCACACGGCTGGATCATGGCCAGAATGCTGCGTGATCGGGGATCGTGGAGTGTATTTACCCGCTAAGAAGTGATAATGAGTGTAATGTTACAATGGTTATGACCTAAGAGTGTCATGAACATATCAGGATGTAATACGATGTTCAGTGTCTGTATGGGTCATGCCCTGAAGCGGTGCCCCCTGACCCGTCCTGAAGCGGTGCCTGCCGATTTGCCTGACCTGCCTGACCTGTACGCCCAGGTGGTGGTGCCCTGGAGCTCGCCGCTCAGCCTGCGCGCGCTGCTCTGCGTGGAGCCCTTCACCCCGCACCTGGAGCTGTCCCAGGTCAACGGAACGCTCTGCCCAAGACGGTAGGTCACGTCTCATCTGTGTGCAGTGCAGCGGTCATTGGTGGTAGGTTGGGCTTGACCTACAGAATACACCGGACCTGCCCAGGTCGCCGGCACACTCCCCGACAGTACAGTATACCGATATACCGCTCTATGCCGTCGTAAAGCGGTACCACGAGCGAGAGCTGAGTACGAGAGCGCCGTTTCTGCAGAGGAACCGGCTGACCTTGCCTTTCCCGGAGAGGCCACGGCGTCCCTGATTTCTGCCGCACGTGCCGCCAGGGCGCCCCGTGTTGTCCAATATACCGCTCTAGTTGGTGGTGTGGTGGATTTGGGCTGTGAGGGGCATTGCAAATCTAAGCGTCGAAGCGACAGTGTAGCACTAGTCCGTCAGCTGACAGCAGCGGAGTAATGGACAGCGGGCTGTAACATTGTCATGAACACTAGCCACCGCGGATTGGGCGTCGTGGGATCACGAGCGAGCGAGGAGTGGGAGTACGGCTATTGTGCCGTCTTAGGAGAGGAACTGGCTGACTGTGCCTGTCCCGGAGGGGCCACGTCGTCCCTGATTGCTGCTGTACGTGTCGCCAGGGCGGCCTGTGTTGTCTCGCCTGGCTATTCCCAACACCGACCGTTGTTTCGCCAGGTTTTGCCCGACGCCGTGGTCAGTTTGTCCCTGACACATCCCTGGTTTCAACAGGTCACCCCGGCACCGACCGTTACTCAAGCAGGGCGCCCCCGACCCGTCTTTCATTTCGCAAGTCGCCCCTGTTTCCGCCCCTTGTTTCACTAACTCGTCCCTGACCCGTCCCTTGTTTTGCCAGTTCGTCCCTGACACGAGCCCTTGCTTCATCAGGTCGTCCCTGACACTCCCTTTTTCATCAGATCGTCTCTGATGCCGCATCGTGTTTCACCAGATCGTCCTTGACCGGTCCCTTGTTTCGCCAGGTCGTCCCTGACGCCAACCCTGACGTCTCGTTTGCTCTCGCTCTGGCGGCACATCTCCAAGAGCCGGACAGAGTTCGAGACTAGGCCCGACACAGGTGCGTGATCGCCTTCTGTAACTGTCTTCTGTAGCCGTCCACTGTAACCGTAACCGTCCGCTGTCTCGAGACGTCTTCTATAACCGGTCACTGTAGCTGTCCACTGTAACCGTCCACTGTAGCCGTAACCGTCCGCTGTCTCGAGACGTCTTCTGTAGCCGTTCACTGTAGCCGCCCTCCGAAAGCATGCCCTGCACGCGTACCGTCGGCGGGCCGGCCGGCTCTACGGCCGAGTCTCTGGCCAGCGGGCCATTGGAGCCGGTGTGGGGAGGAGCGTCGGGAGGTAGATGGGTGCCTGTCTTGCGCGGTTCCGTGGTGCGGCCCGCGAGCCGTCGCGTCAGCCGACTGAACTGGAGGCGCCAAAAGCGTCGGCTGGTCACGAACAGGACGGCAGTCGTCGTATGCAGTGCCGGCAATGGCAGTGCCCCTGGCTTTTGCTGATGGCTGGTGGGGCTCGTGTCGCGGCCAGGCTTCATCGGCAAGGACATGACGCGCCACCTGAACCGGGTGTGGAACTACGTGCTGAAGGGCGTGCTGGGCACGCTGCTGATGGTGCTGGTGTTCCCGGCCAGCTGCCTGCTGGTGTCGCTGGGCAGCCTGCTGCTGGCCGCCGCCGTCCCGCTCTGGTTAGTGGGATGTCCCGAACCGCTGTGCCCATGAAGGGTCGCATTGATACACTGGTCAAAGCCCTGCACTCACCCCATGCTCCCTCCCTGCTGTGCTCTCAAATCTGTACCCCTCTGGTCAGTCGCCCCCCCCCCCTCCCCTCTCCCTCTGTCTAGGCACTACTGTCCCTGCTCCGTGTCCTGCTCTATTCAGTGCTCCCCTTCGGTTATCCTGTTGTCAGTTTTCAGTCTTCGAGACCCATAACCTCCCCCTCCAGGTCAGCACTGTATTTCCATCCCCAGTACCCCTTGTTGTTGTGCCCCCCCCCCCCCTCCCCCCCAATCTCAGCCATAGCCAGTACTTTGTCTCTCCTCGCCTGACCGTTCGTCTGTGGTGAGTCTGCATCCTTCTGTTCAGTACCCTGTCCCCCTGCGGTCAGAGCCCTATGCCACCCCCTGTCCCTCACCAATCATTCTGTTCCCTTGGGTTCAGATCGCATGCTTTTGGTCAGAATACTCGGTTGGCGTGGGGCCGGTGCTCTGTCTCAACCCCTGTCTATTCTCTGGCCAGTGCAGATCATCAGTCGGTTCTCCCTTCCTGATCAGTCTGCTCCCCCCCCCCGCCCCCTTATCAATCTTGGTTATCTCGTCCCCTCTGATGTCACCTCCGTACACATGTCTCGTTCTGATTTCGCCGCTGTTAACTCCACTGGTGTGTGCCGCGCCGTCCTCATCCGGTGTCCTCATCCGGTGTCCTCCGATCGGTGTCGTCCTCTGCTGTACCCCTGTGGCTGATGTCCGGTATGATCAGTTCCCCACCCGTCGGTGTCCTCCGATCGGCAGGGTCCTCTTCTGTACCCCTGTGGTTGATGTCCGGTATGACCAGTTCCCCACCCGTCGGTGTCCTCCGATCGGCAGGGTCCTCTTCTGTACCCCTGTGGTTGATGTCCGGTATGACCAGTTCCCCACCCGTCGCTGTCCTCCGATCGGCAGGGTCCTCTTCTGTACCCTCTGGTTGATGTCCCGTGGGACCAGTTCCCCACCCGTCGGTGTCCTCCGATCGGCAGGGGTCCTCTTCTGTACCCTCTGGTTGATGTCCCGTGGGACCAGTTCCCCACCCGTCGGTGTCCTCCGATCGGCAGGGTCCTCTTCTGTACCCTCTGGTTGATGTCCCGTGGGACCAGTTCCCCACCCGTCGGTGTCCTCCGATCGGCAGGGTCCTCTTCTGTACCCTCTGGTTGATGTCCCGTGGGACCAGTTCCCCACCCGTCGGTGTCCTCCGATCGGCAGGGTCCTCTTCTGTACCCTCTGGTTGATGTCCGGTATGATCAGTTCCCCACCCGTCGGTGTCCCCCGATCGGCAGGGTCCTCTTCTGTACCCTCTGGTTGATGTCCGGTATGATCAGTTCCCCACCCGTCGGTGTCCTCCGATCGGCAGGGTCCTCTTCTGTACCCTCTGGTTGATGTCCCGTGGGACCAGTTCCCCACCCGTCGGTGTCCTCCGATCGGCAGGGTCCTCTTCTGTACCCTCTGGTTGATGTCCCGTGGGACCAGTTCCCCACCCGTCGGTGTCCTCCGATCGGCAGGGTCCTCTTCTGTACCCTCTGGTTGATGTCCGGTATGATCAGTTCCCCACCCGTCGGTGTCCTCCGATCGGCAGGGTCCTCTTCTGTACCCTCTGGTTGATGTCCCGTGGGACCAGTTTCCCCACCCGTCGGTGTCCTCCGATCGGCAGGGTCCTCTTCTGTACCCTCTGGTTGATGTCCGGTATGATCAGTTTCCCCACCCGTCGGTGTCCCCCGATCGGCAGGGTCCTCTTCTGTACCCTCTGGTTGATGTCCCGTGGGACCAGTTCCCCACCCGCCGGTGTCCTCCGATCGGCAGGGTCCTCTTCTGTACCCTCTGGTTGATGTCCCGTGGGACCAGTTCCCCCACCCGTCGGTGTCCTCCGATCGGCAGGGTCCTCTTCTGTACCCTCTGGTTGATGTCCCGTGGGACCAGTTCCCCACCCGCCGGTGTCCTCCGATCGGCAGGGTCCTCTTCTGTACCCTCTGGTTGATGTCCCGTGGGACCTGTTCCCCACCCGTCGGTGTCCTCCGATCGGCAGGGTCCTCTTCTGTACCCTCTGGTTGATGTCCCGTGGGACCAGTTCCCCACCCGTCGGTGTCCTCCGATCGGCAGGGTCCTCTTCTGTACCCTCTGGTTGATGTCCCGTGGGACCAGTTCCCCACCCGTCGGTGTCCTCCGATCGGCAGGGTCCTCTTCTGTACCCTCTGGTTGATGTCCCGTGGGACCAGTTCCCCACCCGTCGGTGTCCTCCGATCGGCAGGGTCCTCTTCTGTACCCTCTGGTTGATGTCCGGTATGATCAGTTCCCCACCCGTCGGTGTCCTCCGATCGGCAGGGTCCTCTTCTGTACCCTCTGGTTGATGTCCCGTGGGACCAGTTCCCCACCCGTCGGTGTCCTCCGATCGGCAGGGTCCTCTTCTGTACCCTCTGGCTGATGTCCCGTGGGACCAGTTCCCCACCCGCCGGTGTCCTCCGATCGGCAGGGTCCTCTTCTGTACCCTCTGGTTGATGTCCCGTGGGACCAGTTCCCCACCCGTCGGTGTCCTCCGATCGGCAGGGTCCTCTTCTGTACCCTCTGGTTGATGTCCGGTATGATCAGTTCCCCACCCGTCGGTGTCCTCCGATCGGCAGGGTCCTCTTCTGTACCCTCTGGCTGATGTCCCGTGGGACCAGTTCCCCACCCGCCGGTGTCCTCCGATCGGCAGGGTCCTCTTCTGTACCCTCTGGTTGATGTCCCGTGGGACCAGTTCCCCACCCGTCGGTGTCCTCCGATCGGCAGGGTCCTCTTCTGTACCCTCTGGTTGATGTCCGGTATGATCAGTTCCCCACCCGTCGGTGTCCTCCGATCGGCAGGGTCCTCTTCTGTACCCTCTGGTTGATGTCCCGTGGGACCAGTTCCCCACCCGCCGGTGTCCTCCGATCGGCAGGGTCCTCTTCTGTACCCTCTGGTTGATGTCCCGTGGGACCAGTTCCCCACCCGTCGGTGTCCTCCGATCGGCAGGGTCCTCTTCTGTACCCTCTGGCTGATGTCCCGTGGGACCAGTTCCCCACCCGTCGGTGTCCCCCGATCTGCAGGGTCCTCTTCTGTACCCTCTGGTTGATGTCCCGTGGGACCAGTTCCCCACCCGCCGGTGTCCTCCGATCGGCAGGGTCCTCTTCTGTACCCTCTGGTTGATGTCCCGTGGGACCAGTTCCCCACCCGCCGGTGTCCTCCGATCGGCAGGGTCCTCTTCTGTACCCTCTGGTTGATGTCCCGTGGGACCAGTTCCCCACCCGTCGCTGTCCTCCGATCGGCAGGGTCCTCTTCTGTACCCTCTGGTTGATGTCCGGTATGATCAGTTCCCCACCCGTCGCTGTCCTCCGATCGGCAGGGTCCTCTTCTGTACCCTCTGGTTGATGTCCCGTGGGACCAGTTCCCCACCCGTCGGTGTCCTCCGATCGGCAGGGTCCTCTTCTGTACCCTCTGGTTGATGTCCCGTGGGACCAGTTCCCCACCCGTCGGTGTCCTCCGATCGGCAGGGTCCTCTTCTGTACCCTCTGGTTGATGTCCCGTGGGACCAGTTCCCCACCCGTCGGTGTCCTCCGATCGGCAGGGTCCTCTTCTGTACCCTCTGGTTGATGTCCCGTGGACCAGTTCCCCACCCGCCGGTGTCCTCCGATCGGCAGGGTCCTCTTCTGTACCCTCTGGTTGATGTCCCGTGGGACCAGTTCCCCACCCGTCGGTGTCCTCCGATCGGCAGGGTCCTCTTCTGTACCCTCTGGTTGATGTCCCGTGGGACCAGTTCCCCACCCGTCGGTGTCCTCCGATCGGCAGGGTCCTCTTCTGTACCCTCTGGTTGATGTCCCGTGGGACCAGTTCCCCACCCGTCGGTGTCCTCCGATCGGCAGGGTCCTCTTCTGTACCCTCTGGTTGATGTCCCGTGGGACCAGTTCCCCACCCGCCGGTGTCCTCCGATCGGCAGGGTCCTCTTCTGTACCCTCTGGTTGATGTCCCGTGGGACCAGTTCCCCACCCGCCGGTGTCCTCCGATCGGCAGGGTCCTCTTCTGTACCCTCTGGTTGATGTCCCGTGGGACCAGTTCCCCACCCGTCGCTGTCCTCCGATCGGCAGGGTCCTCTTCTGTACCCTCTGGTTGATGTCCCGTGGGACCAGTTCCCCACCCGCCGGTGTCCTCCGATCGGCAGGGTCCTCTTCTGTACCCTCTGGTTGATGTCCCGTGGGACCAGTTCCCCACCCGTCGGTGTCCTCCGATCGGCAGGGTCCTCTTCTGTACCCTCTGGTTGATGTCCCGGTGGGACCAGTTCCCCACCCGTCGGTGTCCTCCGATCGGCAGGGTCCTCTTCTGTACCCTCTGGTTGATGTCCCGTGGGACCAGTTCCCCACCCGTCGGTGTCCTCCGATCGGCAGGGTCCTCTTCTGTACCCTCTGGTTGATGTCCGGTATGAACAGTTCCCCACCCGTCGGTGTCCTCCGATCGCAGGGTCCTCTTCTGTACCCTCTGGTTGATGTCCCGTGGGACCAGTTCCCCACCCGTCGGTGTCCTCCGATCGGCAGGGTCCTCTTCTGTACCCTCTGGTTGATGTCCCGTGGGACCAGTTCCCCACCCGTCGGTGTCCTCCGATCGGCAGGGTCCTCTTCTGTACCCTCTGGTTGATGTCCCGTGGGACCAGTTCCCCACCCGCCGGTGTCCTCCGATCGGCAGGGTCCTCTTCTGTACCCTCTGGTTGATGTCCCGTGGGACCAGTTCCCCACCCGTCGCTGTCCTCCGATCGGCAGGGTCCTCTTCTGTACCCTCTGGTTGATGTCCCGTGGGACCAGTTCCCCACCCGTCGGTGTCCTCCGATCGGCAGGGTCCTCTTCTGTACCCTCTGGTTGATGTCCCGTGGGACCAGTTTCCCCACCCGTCGGTGTCCTCCGATCGGCAGGGTCCTCTTCTGTACCCTCTGGTTGATGTCCGGTATGATCAGTTCCCCACCCGTCGGTGTCCTCCGATCGGCAGGTCCTCTTCTGTACCCTCTGGTTGATGTCCCGTGGGACCAGTTCCCCACCCGTCGGTGTCCTCCGATCGGCAGGGTCCTCTTCTGTACCCTCTGGTTGATGTCCCGTGGGACCAGTTCCCCACCCGCCGGTGTCCTCCGATCGGCAGGGTCCTCTTCTGTACCCTCTGGTTGATGTCCCGTGGGACCAGTTCCCCACCCGTCGGTGTCCTCCGATCGGCAGGGTCCTCTTCTGTACCCTCTGGTTGATGTCCCGTGGGACCAGTTCCCCACCCGCCGGTGTCCTCCGATCGGCAGGGTCCTCTTCTGTACCCTCTGGTTGATGTCCCGTGGGACCAGTTCCCCACCCGTCGGTGTCCTCCGATCGGCAGGGTCCTCTTCTGTACCCTCTGGTTGATGTCCGGTGGGACCAGTTCCCCACCCGTCGGTGTCCTCCGATCGGCAGGGTCCTCTTCTGTACCCTCTGGTTGATGTCCCGTGGGACCAGTTCCCCACCCGTCACTGTCCTGATCTGCAGCCATGCCCGTCCAAGTGCCGGCTCACACCAGGCCCGCGGTTATTGTAAGCAGGTACTCTGTATGATCAGACTCTGTAAGATGGGCAGGTCAAGATACTGTCAGCCAGAGTTTGGTAAAGCTCACCTGTGTTGCCAGTCGGTGATGATAACTTGCAGGCGTTGACTAACGATGCTGGCCGAACCCAACGGGGACGAGGCCGTGCACACTAGGGTTTTAAAGTCATACGCAAAGCTGGTAATTCTGTGTGCGACTTGTTCTGAAATCACGCGCCGACCCTCACACATTGCAGCGGGCCGACCTCGTCAGTCCGCCGCCAAATACTGAACATGTGACTCGCGCTGCCGGCCAGGGTGCCGGTGGCCGTGCTGCTCTGCCACCTGTTCATGGTGCTCGGCTACGACCTGGACTCGCCGTCGCCGGAGCGCAACCGCTGGTGTGTCGTGCTCGAGGCGCTCGTCTGGAACATCGGTACGGTGCCGGGCGGCGCACAGCCGGCGCGCTGCCTCGCGACGGCTGCGCACGAGGGACGCTGCAGACGCCGTCCCTGATCAAAACTCGGGTCATGTAGGGACCTGTGTTACGGGCGGCATGTGTCAGCGCGCCCGGGGAATACAGTATTGAGTGCTGCAGCTGGTGTCAGCCGCGCGTCACGTGTAGCGAGCGCAGTCCTTTGAAAAGTCGACGGTGGTGGACCACAAACGCGTTACATCGTGGTTTGTGGGTGATCAGTGTTGGGCTTGTTCAGAACGTTTCGCGGCCTTTGACGATAACAACAGCTGCGTCGTATATCGTTGAAACGTGGCCAATGCGATGCCGCGGTTACAAATGTGCCGCGCAGTGTGCTGCCGTTGCCACCGTTGTGATGTGTGCCACACCACGTGCGTCTTGCCAAGCCAGCGTTGTGACGCGGCTGTGACGCGTCCGTTCTCAGGCGTGCTGGGGATCCTGCAGCCGGTGGCGGCCGTGCTGGTGGCTGGGCTCGTCTGTCCGCTGATCGCGCTCGTCATCCTCGTCTGTAAGCCGAGCCCCGGGCCCCGCCCGCACGGCGCGCCGCCCCGGCGGCAGCGTGGCCCGCGGCGGCACCGCGGCCGTCGCCGGCGGTCTCTGACGCGGACCGCAGGCGTTCGGCGCTGTGTGATGCGGTGAAGTCAGCGCTGTTTTCTGCTCTCGTGGTCTCGGTCGTGGTCTCAAGCCGTCTGTTGGACACGTGCCAGACATTGATTCGGGTCATAATTCGAAGGCTACTCGGCTGCCGCTAAAAACAAAAAAAAATGGATGTCATTGTCAGCTCACCTCTCAAGTTATACTCATATTTCTTGTTAAAAGCTTGTCGATTGTAGCGTGTGGCTAGGTGTTGTTTAAAGTCGTTTTCTTCTGTCTCTTCCACCGCCACACTGGCCGCTGGGCTGTGACCGTGCCGTGACCGGCCCACTGCCGGCGCCGTCTCAGTGGCCCTAGGTTTCCGTGGCCGGCCGTCTGCCGGCGCGGGCTCAGTGACCCTGGCCTGCCGTGGCCGGCTGGGTGGCCTTGGCTTGCCACGTCGGGCTGGCTGCCCGAACAGTCGCCTGATGGATGGCGCCGTCGGTCGCCCTGATGACCGCAGACGCCGTGGCTTCAATAGAGGCCGCCCGGCGGCCGCCGTCGTCGGTGCCGCCGGCCGCCGACCGTCTGAGGGCAGTCTGATCAATAGCGGCGGAGCTCGCCCAGACGCATCGCGAGCACTGCCGGCTGCCACAGTGGCCGCCAAACCAATCACGCCGCCGCTGACTCCAACGTGACATGACCCGAGCATTGACGCCGTCACCAGCTCGAGCTCCTCAGACATTTACCTGCGGTGGTGATAACACTGTGCCCTGGCTTGGCAGACGGCTGGCTGCGCTGGGGCCTGCGCCGCCTCTGGGACCGGGTGTCCTATGACGTCATTGTCAGCCGGAAGGGGCGCATCCCGTGCTCGGACAGCTTCCTGGTGACGCGGGTGCACGGCCCCGGCCTGTCGTCTGAGTACTTCCTCCAGGTGGGCACGGTGCGGTCACCGGACTGCAGCACTCAGTGGCGCTGCTGCGGAGGCCTGCGTGGTCGGGTGTAGCAACTGGGCCGAGACATGGCACTGGCGTGGCTGAGGGAGACGTGGCTACTGATCTCAAGCACGGCATAAGCATGGCTAGGGGAAGCGGGATAAGAGGGTGACGGCCGGTTGAGACTTCTGTGCCGGCGATGTATGACCACGTATTTCCTGCCTCTTCCGGTCTTTGTTTATTGTGTTAAGGAAGAGGTCGCCTGGGTGGCGAGCAATCGTTGTACCTGGCCCGCGCCCGGGCAAGCTTTACACCAATATTCGCGTTGCTGGACCTTCTGCAGTGCATGCTACCCACACCAGAACCTACCGCCCTTCCTTGGACGGTCTGAACGGCTTGCATCCAGCCACTGACTCCTAATGCTCAGCGACGCCATTGCCTCCCCTGACCCTGTCTAACCCCTGTTAGCTCACTGAACCCCTGCCGCCCTCCCCTGACCCCGTCTGACAGGTGCGTGCCCCCCAGATCCGACCGGAGCAGGCGCTGGCGGCGTTCGAGGCGCGTCTGGAGGCGGACGAGCTGCTAGCCTTTCAGCAGCAGACGGAGCGGCGCATCCAGCAGCCGCAGCAGGCCTTCAGCCAGTTCGTGCAGCGGCTGCTGGCGCCGTTCTCCGTCCAGCTGTGCCGCGAGGGCGTCTACGGCCAGCTGCACGCCGAGGGGCAGCAGCTGACCAACACCCTGCAGGTGGGTGGGGCGGGCGGGGTGGCGCGAGGGCGTCTACGGCCAGCTGCACGCTGAGGGGCAGCAGCTGACCAACACCCTGCAGGTGGGCGGGGCGGGCGGGGTGGCGCGAGCCGGTCAACACGGGCCGACGTCGCTGAGGGGCAGCAGCTGACCAACATACTGCAGGTGGGCGGGGCGGGCGGGGTGGCGCGAGCCGGTCAACACGGGCCGACGTCGCTGAGGGGCAGCAGCTGACCAACATACTGCGGGTGGGCGGGGCGGGCGGGGTGACGCGAGCCGGTCAACACGGGCCGACGTCGCTGAGGGGCAGCAGCTGACCAACACCCTGCAGGTGGGCGGGGCCGGCGGGGTGGCGCGAGCCGGTCAACACGGGCCGACGTCGCTGAGGGGCAGCAGCTGACCAACATACTGCAGGTGGGCGGGGCGGGCGGGGTGGCGCGAGCCGGTCAACGCAGGCCAACGTCACGTGAACACTGCTGATACTGAACCCAGATGCCGTGTTGGGCTGGTTTGACGCCGGGCATACGTGGACTAGTGTGAAGTGGTGTCTGCGGCGGTGGAAGCTTTCGTACGCCTGTGCGCTCGTAGACGCATGGGAGCCCGGATCGGGGTCGGCTGTTTTATACGCGCTGCAGGTCGTGTTTCGGTTCCGTCGGCTGTGTCTGACGTGCAGGGCTGTGATGATCCCCGTCATTACCCTCGTCACCTGCGTGCTTCCTAAAATAACTGAACGGACGGTTATCCCACCTACGGGTACCTTTAAAGCCCGCGTATTGCAGTTTGATGGGCTCTAGCATAGTTCCCATGCTACTAGTTAGAGCAGGCTGTCTGAAAAGTGTTTTTAGGTCCTTTTGGCCATCTGTAGACTAAGGAGCTCGTTAGAGAATTAGTGCCACCATGTCACAGCCGGCTGAAAAAGGCCGGTGGAAGCTTCATGCGACCGGAATCCAAGCTCAGACGGGGCGTGGCTACCACTGGACGGGTACCGTGACCTCTCGCATACTGACACCAGCGCCGCGCTCCTCCGCGTGCAGGAGAGGATCGAGAAGCGGCTACACGACCTGCAGACGGGCCTGACGCCCGTCCAGCGGCGTAAGGTCAAGATGGCGCCTCGCGACCTCAAGGTGCGCAGCCGTGAGAGAAGCGTGCCGCGCCGTGCTGCTGCTTGACGTTGGTCATGGGACCGCATGGCCGCCCTTTGACGTCTGCCTTCACGTGAAGATTGGGTACTGGTGATCGTTGTTTTTATTGTGCTTACCTGCCCCAGTGATCCGAGGGATTTTGGAGGTTATGATCAAAACGAATGCAGCACCGTAACGTAAGCCGAACCATTTCGATTGCTCATTACGGTAATAGGCTTGCCCGTTTTTCCAAGCCAGTGTTGACGCATGTGCGTAGCAGCTGCACACGCCCGCGGATACCGCTGATGGTGCAGGCCTGTGCCGGTGGTCCATTGCCGTCCCGGTAACTGCCGCCCAGCGTGTGGAGCTGAGGATAGCCAGCGGTGGCGATAGCGTGATCGGACACGTGACATTGATGTAGTGTTCAGAGTAGGGCACAAATGTGACCGTGTGTTGGCCTGCTTATCTCCGGCACCAAGCAACAGCTTCCACAATTGAAATCGTGACGTCAGTGTCTCCCACACCGTTACGCGTTTAGCACCAGGTCTGCCCACAGCGTATGACAACACCGTCACCTGTGACCTGTTGACCTGTGGTCTCGCCTCACACTCACCTGTGACCTGTCCTGTGGTCTCGACTCACATTGTTATCGTTGTGGATAGCGTCACGTGACCTCGGCTGCACAATAAGGCCTATTATTAGCTGAAGCATGAAAGTGCTCACGTGGCACACGTCCCCACATCTTAGTGCAAACGTGTCCAGGCAACGCCTCCACAACGGGGAATCGAACCCGTACTTCCCAATCCGAATCCAGTGGCGCTGCCGTGGTAGCCTTGCTCACCCTGCCCTCGGCGGCTGCAGCTGGCGCTGGTGGCTGGCGCCCGCCTGCTGGAGGAGTTCTACCCGCGGCACGTGCTGGCGCGTCTGCCGGTGAGCGCGGCCGAGTTCTGGGAGGGTCGCGCCCTGCCCGTGGACGACTGGGCCGGCCTCTCGGCGCTGCTGCTGACCGAGGTCTTCAGCGGCGACGTCCTCACGCCCATGGAGGAGGCCGACACGCGCTTCTACCTGGAGGTGAGCGCCACGGCGGCGGCCGGCAGCGGCGTCGTCGGCGGAGTTCTGGCTGGACGTGCGGGTGGATCATGACTGAGGGGAGCGTGGGGATAGGAGGCGAGCTGCCGCTGCGTGTGGGTTAGTCAAGCGTCGCTCTGCGAGTCCGCACAGTGTTCTACTGTGTTCGGACGCGCTCGAGGTACTGGAGGTACGCGCTGAAAGTACGCGCCGGTACATTGGCGCCGTATGGCCGGGCCGCGTTCAAGGCTGGAACCAAGGAACGTGCAGGCGGACACCGCCAGCGGTGATGCCTAAAACCCTGCCAGCGTATATGGCGACTGGCGTGTTTGGGGACGGTGCCGTGGCGTGTGGCGGCCATCCCGCACCCCATGCCGACGTCGCCGTTGTCAGCGCAGTGCTGACACGACCCCGAGCTCCTGCTCGTCGCGCGGGTGTCAGCCATTCATCCCAGACACGCGGTCTGTCGCTGACCTTTCGTCGTGACTACAACCATGACATCCCGCCGCTGACCCCGACTCCGACCTCTCGACCTCGGCGCTGATCCCTTGACTCCGGTGTGACCCCGAGTCTGAGTCAGGCTGACCCCACGGTCGCCGTTTGACCTCAGGTGCACCGGGTCAACCTGACCCGGTACACGGAGCTGCTCCGGGCCGCGGCCGCCGCCGACGCGCCGCTAGCGCCTGCCGTGCAGACGGCCAAGAACATCCAGGTGGCACCACCGTCGCTGGACGTGGGCTGCTTCTCTCCGCTCAGCCGGCAGCGCCAGGCGACGGCGCGCAGCCAGCGGCGCACGTGAGTGACGCGGGCCAGGGCCGGCGGCGAGGCAAGGAAGGCGGAGCGGCAACTGCTGGCTGGGTGGGCGATGTGTGTACTGAAGCCATGCGGGACAATGGCACGTAAAAACCCAAGTGGTGAGTGAGCAAATCAGTGTCAGTTAGGAACAGGGTGGTCAAGAAGATGGCAAGACTCTTGACTTACTGCACCGTGATGGCTGGCTCTAAGTCGTTGTTGGAAATTATGTTTTGTGCGAAGTGCATTGTATGGTCCAAACCTGCAAAAACATTAAAAAAATGTTTGATTTGTGTATGACATATGCGAAACAATAGCGCAATTTGCCGTCTTAAGTCAAAAAGGCCAGAGAATCATTAGTTAACACAGCACTTACGCATTTTGACTGTGGACGGTAGCATTGTTTAAGTTATTTTATTCACCAACGCATCTGATACAATGCCGACGAATAGCTGTCTGACACATTATAGAAGACATGACTCGGTCTGGCTTGGCTTGATTTTATCCCTGATTTCTATTCTAAATGATTTGACTACGTATCCCAGCGGCTTTGCTGTGTTTTCTTGTGTTAACGTATGATTTATTGTGTCGCTGGGGTTTTAAGACAGTTAACTTACATAAGCAGTTGTGTCCATTCTACGAGTCAGTCCTTCACTACGTTAAGTGGCCATGTGAATGAACCTCCTGCCATCACTGTGACGGACCTCGGTCGTGTCGGCGTCGCCTGCGCCGCGAGCGTCGCCAGCACGTCCCCAGCTGACGCGGCGCCGGCCGGCAGGCGGCGGACGCTGCGGCCGTGGAAGCGGCGGCGCCACACGCCCTACACGGCCGAGAAGCTGCCGATCCCGCTGCCGGTGCCGCACCCGGCGCGCATCGCCGCCATCGTCTACAACCGCGACACGGACGAGCCGCTGCCGGCCGACGGCGAGCCCTGCCAGCTGGTGTTCGCCGCGCTCGAGGGCACCGACGGCACCGCGCGCGCGCCGGCCGCCGACGACGCGCCGGAAGCGGAGGCGGGGGCAGAGGCGGCCGAGGAGGAGGCGGTGGAGGAGGAGGCGGCGGCGGCCTCCGGGGACGCGGAGAACGCGGCGGCGGCGGCGGCCGCGGCGGCCGCGGACGAGTTCGTGGTGATTCCGCTCGGCGAGATGGCGGCGAGCGGCGGCGGCGGCGGTGACGTGTTGTCCCACAGTTTGAGAACCACGGACGTGTGAGGCTGTGGTTTGGCCGCGGCCGCGGCCGCCGGGCTGGGCAGGACGCCGGAGCGGAGCACGCCGCAGGGCACGTGACCGGGAGGGAGGAATGTGGCGAGGACTGTGCGAAGGGAGCGTGTGAGGACGGGATGGGCGGTGGGAGGCGCCAGAGGGCGGGCTGCGCCGCTGCCATCGTGCCGGCTGTAGCCCGGTGCGGAGCCGCGCCGGGATGAAGCAGTGGCTGGCTGTCGTCCGTTGAGTGGTGTCCTGGGCGTGTGTGCTACCCTCTGATGGGCATCTGGTATTGGCATGCTGTAGTTTGAAGTGATGACTTCGAATGGGTGTTTGATGTTCATTCCGAGTATGTCTGGCGGTCCGCAGCCACCGCCAATCAGCGGAGGACCAGCACGCACTCGCCCACCTCCCTCCCCCTCGTGGGTTGCCCTCTCTCTCTCTCTCTCTCTCTCTGTCTCTCTCTCGCGCGTTCGTTGGTGCTGCCATCTATCCGTCATTTGTGTGGCGATGGGACAGGCCGCGGGACGCGTGTGATCCCTCACCCCGACCGCCAAGCCTGCCGACTGGAAGTATTCACCGATGAGTGGTGTCCATATGAGCTCCGTCGCCTGAGATTAGTTCAGCGCTTACGTGTGCGCCAGCCGTGTGTCAGACACAGCCTGTGTGGATCTTTTACACGGGCGCTTGTTTTGTTTACTGTTTGTTTTGTGGGTTAAGTCCCACCGAGATTGTGTCGAATGTTCGTTTTGATTCATCACGTGTTACTCTTTTACTCGTTACGGGCGCCGTTTTGAGTTGGAGGGAGCTTTTTGCATGTGCCAAACCGCTATTGTTTTTTTTTTACGAGTTTGCACTGGACGTGTGCCCGCCACGGCCTGCTCGAGCTGCTGGTCTGCTTTGTGCGTCCCCGGCGACTGTGCCGACCTGCGAGTGAGGCGGGCCTTTTCGCGCAGGCTGGCTTGTGCGGCCGGCGACCTGTTTTCGGCTCATCCTCAAGTGCAATGCATTTGAAATTACGCCATTAGTGATGCGCGTGGCCAATGCCTAGTACGTGCTGGTCCGTCAGCAACGGCGGCGCTGTGGGCAGGTGAACCGCTGTGTGTCGGATAGTTGTGCTGTGAGTGGTCACCAGCCGCTCGCCGAATATAGCCTCCGTGTCTGCGGGCGAACTGACCCTCTGGAGCCAGTTTGGATCCGCGTGGGTTGGGCTGGCTTCTACGGCGGAAGGCCGGGGAGCCAGTGGAGGGTAAAGGCGGTCTGGCCCACGGCGTCCACTGGTTTGCGTGCTCCAGGTCATGGATGGAGGTCAAAATTGAGATAGACAGGGTCGCAAGTCGTGAAGAATTGTGCGTCGAGGAAGAATCTCGAGGTGCTGCGTGGCAGTCACGGCCCGTGCTTTATCGCACGCGTGATGGACCCATGTAATGATAAACTATTGGCTCGGCTAGGGCTTACAACTGGTGTGGAAGCCTGTGGGGGCCATCCGCGCCGTCCTGCGGAGTTCGAGGAAGGGGCACTTTCCCCCGCTGAGCTGTCTGCCTGTGTCACAGCACGGGTAGTGCGGTGCCGAACATGCGTCCAGTGGAGAACGCACTGCTGCGTGTCACCACCCGGCCGCCCGGGCATGGCCGAGGGCGTTCTGCCGGTCAGTGTGAGATGCTCCGCGTCACCACCCGGCCAGCGGGGCGTGGCCGAGGGCACTCTGCCGGTCAGTGGGATGCTCCGCGTCACCACCCGGCCACCGGGGCGTGGCCGAGGGCGTTCTGCCGGTCAGTGTGGGATGCTCTGCGTCACCCCCCTGCCGCCGGGGCGTGGCCGAGGGCGCTCTGCCGGTCAGTGTGGGATGCTCCGCGTCACCACCCGGCCACCGGGGCGTGGCCGAGGGCGCTCTGCCGGTCAGTGTAGGATGCTCCGCGTCACCACCCGGCCACCGGGGCGTGGCCGAGGGCGTTCTGCCGGTCAGTGTGGGATGCTCCGCGTCACCGCCCGGCCACCGGGGCGTGGCCGCGGGCGTACTGCCGGTCAGTGTGAGATGCTGCGCGTCACCGCCCGGCCACCGGGGCGTGGCCGAGGGCGTACTGCCGGTCAGTGTGACATGCTACGCGTCACCATCCGGCCGCTGGGACGTGGCCGAGGGCGTTCTGCCGGTCAGTGTGAGATGCTGCGCGTCACCACCCGGCCGCTGGGACGTGGCCGAGGACGTTCTGCCGGTCAGTGTGAGATGCTCCGCGTCGCTGTTGAAGGCGGCTGACCAGCAGTTATTCGTGCCGCGTTGCCGGTGCCAAAGCACGTCTTTGGTGTCAGGCTTCGACCAGATATTAGCTGTTAGTTGGGTTTTGATCACATTTGAAACAATTGCAGTGGTACGGCTGGAATTTTATCCTCTGGAATGGACGGAACAGGTATACGATGATGTCGGCGTAACACAAAAATCGAAATAAACCTTATTTACACCTCGGGCGGGCTCAGGCGTCATAGGCATCTGAACTATGCGGCACAAATAGTCGGGTTTTACGTTATAAGCTTCATCAAAGTGCTCGTAACTCTCTCCTATGTTTCGTTTGCTACCGTAAGACTGAGAAATCAGGCCCTGGTTCATACCGATTGAAGTTAAAATTCTCTGTATGCAGAACAATGTGACATTCCACGACAAACTGACAGGTGGAGGGGCCAAAATAACACCATATGTATTTAATTTCGCTGAAAGTCAATATGTGGCTGTCTTACAACCGGAATCCGGATGTACCATACTTATAAAAATTAGAGTAGCGGCTGAGGAGTTATAGTCCCGAACATTTTTAGGAGGTAATCCGGCGAGATGTCTGAGGGTTTATACCTTGGTAAAATATATCACATTTCCACAACAAATATATACCAGGCACTTGCATCGATCCAATGCATCGTTCGCCAACTTTCAAGTTTTAGTAGCTCGAATTTCAAAAATTTAACCTCATGACCTAAAATCACGTGACTTTTTTACTCCTTTTAGGTATTAACGATGTTACTTTTCAAAGCAAGAAATTATGACAAACATTTGTCTATCTAAAACAAGGTTTCAGATAAAGTTATTCTTCTGAAATCAAAAGTTGAATTATAGCATTGGCATCAAGTTTAAGTTTACCTGAAATTAACATGTTACAGGTTACGGACCCTCAGGCGACAAAATATGGAGCAAATCATAACCTCCTGTGAGGTATTTATATGAGCTAAATACAACGCACCTATAAACAAACACACACCCATATAACGACATGGCACGGAAGGTGAATTCGGTCACTGAGGGTACCGCTGTTAAAATTGTTTTAACGACTCTAGAAGGCTAGATACGGACATGCCGATGGGTGGTTCTGGAAGGTACATATCGTGAGCCTAGGACAGATTTCGGCGAGTCGATCAGTGATTCCGACAACTAAGTAATGTGAGCCGATGAGAGATTCCGGCGAGTCGATTACTGATTCCGACAACTATGTAATGTGAGCCGATGAGAGATTTCGGTGAGTCGGTGACCGACTCCGGCAACTAGACACTGTGAGCCGACGAGAAATTCCAGAAACTCGGACACTAGGTGCTTCGCCTGTTGTATGCTGTACCGCCCGTTTTACGACTCCTGGATTCAGTGCACAAAGTGCTCAAGATGGGCTTAAAGAGCGACGTGCAAGCACAGCCATGCTTAAGTTTCAGTTCAATTCTTGCTATTGGGTGCCAGTTCGGTGTCCTCGGACCAGTAACGACTTGGGTAACGTTTGAAGATTGTTGGACAATGTGACTTTATCTATGTTTTGAGCTTTATGTCCCTTGGATGAACATGTAAACGCTGCGAGCTAAATTACATAAGCAAAACGATGCATCACAAACCTTCGCGGTGCGTGAGCTGGACAGCCTCAGACAACAGGGAACATCCAGTCGACGGCACTTTTACCAAAATATATTAGATGCTCTTTGAAAATATGGCAGGCATGCATGAAGCACATACTTCATAAATTGACAACGCTTTATTTGATGTTCTTTATTAATTTCCATTTTTCCGAGGAAACTGCGCAAACATGATCTCCACGCTTTTCAATAAAATTGTGCCGGAACGGAATGCGCCCGTAAACATTTTAAGGGGTTTAAATGCTCACATTTTAAACCTGATAAGTTGTGCGATACGCGATGAAATGAACGCAAAGAAGTGCCAAAGTTAAGCTTTCACAGGGGGGGGGGGGGGGGGGGGGAGTGCTTTGCCCCAGCGTAGGGACGGTTTGTCCCGAGCTTTTACAAGGGACCCTTTTTACATTCTTGCATATTTCGGTAATTTTAAACCCCAAAACTCCATCATTGCGACATAATTATTCAATGCCAGAAAATATGTTGAGCTTATTACTGGTACTTGAGTCCGTCCAATTATGCGCCCTGATTCAAAAATGCCATGCTTTTAATGAAACTAGGGGCATTTTGCCTCACCCTACCCTATGAGCCGATGAGAGATTCCATCCAGCGAGCCGATAAATGATTCCGGCAGCTAAGTATTGCGGGTCGATGAGAGATAGGTACAAAACCATAAGTGACTCCGGTAGCTAAGTATTGTGAGCCGCCGACAAATTCCAGAGAGCCGATGGGTGATTCCGGTAACTAAGCATTGTGAGCTGACGTTGAGTGATTCAGCGAGCCGTTGAGTGATTCCGACTACTAAGCACTGTGAGCCGATGAGAAATTCCGGCAAGCCGATTAGTAACGGCAATAGGTAAGTACTGTGAGCCGACCAGAAATTCCAGCGAGCCGCTGAATGATTCC